GGCACCAGTTGTGACAAAACGTCATATCCTGATAGAACACGGTTTTCGTTATCGAAGCAGCACCGCAGCAAAGCTTTATCTTACGTCTTGTTGTCCTCCTCACAGAACTTAACGCGAGAATTGCTGCCTCTGCAAATCGTACAAGGTGCTTCCCTCTGGCGCTCATACGATCGGCTACGAAGTTGTAGGGATACTCTCCATTACAGTGGCACACGCCCCGCTGTCCAAGGAAAACTTTTCCATCTCTGGGCGCAGAGAGAGGCGGTATTGAACTGGGAGTCATTCTCGTGGGTAAAGATGGGCCACCTCCTAGAAGGCTCGTCGCAGGGATATTCCATAGCTCTTAGACTGCTGACAAAATTCTCCTTCTGAATAGTTGCGCACATTGTCTGAAACCGCAGTATGACATGAAGGATGGCATCATCTGGAAACGATCAACATGCACAGTGAGGCCTGCTATTGTTAGAACGATGCAGGAACGCTCAAGTTCCAAAATTGATCATCACCTTGCGCAGTCCGTCCCGTGTCAATCAGCAAATGCTTCTGACCCGAGTTCGTGGCTGGCCATTTCAACGGTCCTTGCGGGTCCAGTGTTGGGTGGCAACAACGACGTCTCGCACGGCAGATGTCGATCGTGTGGCGGGAACAGCACTCCTAACGAACTTCTCTTGTGTCAACAAGAAAAGATCCGAGGATGCGTGTTCCGAGTGAGTGGCTGGGCCCTTGGTTGTGGCTGAGCGGCTTCGTTCTCCAGGATTCCGGATCAGGGTCTTGCTTTGACCCCTGAAGGAAAAAAAAAATTATGGAGACGGGAAAAGATGCAATTGTTGAAGAAATCCCATCTGCTCGAGATACTGAAGAAGGTATCGCGAGATCCGGAGCGGAAAATCTATTGAGCGTGGAACCGAACTTGCGTCACGGCCTTGGCACCACAAACGCCTTTGTTCCAACCTCATCATTGATCGTCCTGGTCGTCTGCGGCTATCACTTCTACTTTCTGGCCTTGATCCGCTGATCGCCCCAACAACGCAAAGACGTGTCCAATACGGCTTACCAACACTTCTGTGCTGCCCGAAAATCATTTCTCCTTGTCTCGGATGGCCAAATACGCAAAATTAGGACAGGAACAGCTCTGGAAGTCGTCATTGTGACGCTCATTGCCATCTCTTCGTTTGCCCCTACCTACCTATGCCATAATTAGAACCGCAGTGCCATATATCGATTGGCGAGGAGGTAACTGAGACACCTCTCCCTCGGGCCTTTTCTGACACCGTGGCAGCTTTCCGACTGGTCTAGAAGACTTGAGCTAGTCAACCTTGCACCGTTGTCCCCGTGCATAGGGCCTGTCCCAGATCGAACCGCGTTGAACCAATTTTTCAAGGTAGGACCTCTTGTATTTGCCACAACGCTTCTCTGCTTCCCCGACCCGTCTACAATACCTTGTGCAAGCCGGTGTTGCCCTCCTACATGTCTGTAGCTAGCGTTGAACGCGTGTCGCGCTAGGCAGCGTCCGCGCCCCGAACGCTCAATTTCGGCATTGTGCCTATACGAAATGTACTCGATCCTTCCTCCACGAAACGACATACTGGTTAAGGATACGATCATCAACAAAGGTCGGCATCTCCGATATTGTTTCTCCGCAAGAATCCAAAAGGAAATGATCACCGGTACGCCATGTACGTTGCACACCTCGTAAAGAGATTTTCGTATTGGAAGGTACTTTCGACGACGGTGGCAGGAACGAAGGCAGTGTAACTGCCGAGAAAACACCCTCTCTGAGAAGAAAAATCAGACCACACGGGCCGGAGAGGTTGAGTGGCCCGGCGCGACATTCTCTACGACGTGCGGATGATAACAATGTGTTTCAGGCTCTGGATTGATGCTACCAATGCCAATGGAACTCAGTGGCAAGGCACTGGCAGCCAATTATCGCATCGGAATGTGGGCAGCCTCCCATCCAGCTAAGCCAATCATCATACAGAATCGTCTTTTGTCGAAAATGTTGAGGCTGCCCACTATCAACCTACCAAATAATTCACCTACGCACCGCGTCTGAACCGAGAATTGTGGGCAACGACGTCTGTCCTTTCGAATGGATGAAATCTGCAAGAATCCAGTAGACCGAGAATCAACGGCTTCAATAAAAGGCTTGCCCGGCAATGGCAATAAGACCCAATCAGAGACTACGGCTGACATCTTGGGAGAGCCTCCTTTTTCCATCGGTCCAGAACATAATTCATTGGATGCCTCAGGCCGCCACTTCTCAGACGCCCTGAGGTTATTGCTCGCTTCCAGGAATCTATTTGCTCAATAAGGTATCTGAGCTCCTCGCCCTAAATAGGCGAACTCCATCATCTCAACCTGTCATGTCACTGCATTGGTATTCCGGAACGAACTCTTGTTGAGAGCATAAACCTCTGACTCTGCATTCAGGGCGATCAGATCCCCACTGCCAATGCGCAATTACTCCACGTCCCGTAGGGTGCTAATGGCATCGGAAAAAGCCTCCTTGAAAGGCTTCTGAAGGAAGGTAAGTATTTACTGACCAGTGTGTGGAATACCTGTTCCGCTCCCTGTGTTCACAGTTCTTATGTCCCCCTGCGTGATGAATGGTGTTTAGTATCCTCTGGATGTCACCGTTTCTTTGCTCGAAGGCCTTATTGGGCCTTCAAGGATTTGATCAGCACTTCACTTGCGAGGCTAGAGCTAAAACTTTAACTTTGGGTACTCAAAGCTCGCTTCCTGCAAACGTGGCTATCCAGTGCTTTACTGAACCATGAATCTGCTCCATATGGGTCCCTCGACGAGAAGCAGTGCTCATGGGGCTGCTTTGACTGATTTGTGGTGAAGTCTAAGAGATCCATCTCCGATGGGCGCGGTATCTCGCGGTCTAGCCGCCATTTTTGCTCTACCCGCTCTGATTTCTAACGGTTCTTTATCAAGTCACCAATCATTCTTTATCATACACTTGCTCCAGGCTTCTCTGACCCGCTCTGATGGCTCTAGTGTTTCTGAAATCAGACGGCGGCTCTCCAGAACTCTGGGCCTTCATCATGAGCTTACGATGGCAAAGTTTAGGACAACCTCGTGGGCAGCATGGCAGCATTGCGAAGATTACCATGTGGGCAGTTGTGGAGCATTATTGGTGGTTTCTTCCCGAAGAATCAACCTCTCATACTCCTGGAGCACGACTGTCTCTTCCCCCGAGTTCGTTTGTCGTGCCTCACTCCTCCCCCCCAACATTTCTGTATCAAATCCTCCCCATCCACATTTCCTGTCACCTTCCATTGTTGGATGCATGGCCGCAACTCCTTTCTCCTGCGTCTGTATTGGCTTCAGTGCGCTGGGGCCCCAGTTAGTCTGTCTTTGCAAACTCGATCCTTACCATAGAAGATTGCATGATCACCTGGAGATTCCCCTGAATCATTTCGGCATTCCCATCATGGCTCATTTGCGTTCACTGACACCGCACTGTCCTCAAATCCAGGGGCTGCGCCAGAAATCCAATGACCTCCTGGCTTCACTCGCGATGCTGTGCAATCTCCCGCAGCTTTTGACTTGCCCCTGAATCTCGATCGCGATCTACATTCCCCAGAAGCGCCGAAGTGACATGCTTGTTGACAAGACGAGCTGCGTCCCTGCTCGAATCTCGTCCGGGGCGATCATGCCTTCCCCCAACCTCGGTGCAAAGTTGACGGTCAAGGCCCTTTCGCAGAACGAGGAGAAGAGCAATATGTCCGAAGAAAGGCGAAAGCGTCCTGATTGTCCCTTCAGGAGTCACAAACACGCCTCTTGAACGTGGATATTAATCACAGAGCTGATCGATCCCCAAAACTAGATATGGAAGGGAAAGACCCTCCCCACAGCAGCTCGAGGAACTGAATGGCAAACCGTCTCGCAGGAGGATGACCCCCTTTGATTGATTGATTGACACACGGTTAACGCAAGGAAAAGAGGGCAGAGACACAAGTCCCCAACGGCGACGAAGCAATGTTTTCATGAAGTGACCACCGAAGTGCGAGGTAGGGGGACCTCTTTTGTCAGACAACTGCAGACCTAATATTGACGACAGAAACCCAAGGCCATACTGGTCTGCTTGTTGGCAATGCACAAGAAAGCACACACAAGACACCAGAACTCCCTCGCCGGCACCGACACCCTTCCATGAATCCCGGCCCTCTTACGCATTGGTGTGTCGTGTGCGAAAGGCGACGAATGTGAAAAGAGAGACTGCAAAGACGGTGCCAAAGAATACTACAAGCTGCTTCTACTTCTCCTACTTCTCCTTCTCCAAAGCGGCAACCCCCAACCGCGAGGAGTGACCCTAACAGGGTAAACATCTAAGTATGTATGTACAGGAAAAGGGAACTGTACTTACGGCGCTGAACGATGTCGTCTGAGCTATCAGGAAGGCACTACCTACACTGGACACTCATTCCCTTGCTAATTTTCTCTTCTCTGGAATCAAAAATAGATATGTTTGCCTTCAAACCATAATTACATAGGCAATGATATGCCCCGTCGCATCCACTAAATAAATAGCACTTGATACTCATTATTAAATTACATCTGCATCATCTTATGCTGTTCCAAAAGCCGTTTGTCCAAGTTTTTCTTTTCCCGTCTCATGGGTCGATTAAGTTGGCCCCATCAAGAAGCTGCTTGCCGACCGGCTTCCCTGTCGATCGCTCTTGGTTCACACTCCGACAATTCAAAGATCCAACCTCCTATGCTGCATAGATTTCGTAGCTTAGCAATGATCCTTGCCCTCATGGAAGAATACGGATCAATCAGAGCCATTCCAAAAACCACTTCATTAACCCCGTTGAACATCCCAGATCATTGCAACATGTATCATATAGTCGTATTCAAGAGGAATCACTCTCCAGATACACAACCCTTGGCCTCAAGCTGGTACCCATAGGTGTGTCCAGCCCTTCAAAAGAATCACAAAGCATCGGCCCAATAACATCAGCATCCATCTTCGGCCTGTAACGGTACTATCGTTCCCCCAAGCTGGCCACTTTTCCTGCGAATCTTGCGCCGGCACTACCGCGTTTTTGCAACTTGTTGGATCCGTCCGAGGAAGATGACATTGGTGAAATCCTGTGCACCATGGGCAAAGGTCCTAAGGTGTCCGCGTGGGTGCCGTGACTAGGTGCTGCTCGCGCTGTTCTCTGGTCAACGTACAACTGCGCAGCGGACGATAGGGGGATAGCCGGGGGCTCGGTAGGGATCTCTGCACCATTCTGCACCAACAGCTCGGCCATTGGAAACGCTTTGACGGCTCCCGATGGAGCGTTCGAGTGAGACGAGACTGGACGAGCTGGATCGGCAGCAGTGAGAGCCAGAAATACCGCATGAGTATTCCGAGAACGGTCATGGGCATTGACATTTGCCCGTTGAGCAACGGCCTGAAGGACTCCATGAATATCATGTTTCTTGATGGATGTCAGTAATGTGTCGTCAGCAGATCCGTATTGAGACACAGGCTCAACGTAAGCCCGCTCGACATATTTGGCCGTAATGAACTTCAATCGTTGGTCTCGAGAGGCACTCGGATCGGGCTTGAGAGAGCGATCGAGCCGTGCCTCCCAGACCATGTTGCTGATTCGGTTGCCAACAAGCATGAGAAGTTCGACAATATCGTTGGTGAAGGAGTGCACATCCAAGGTGAGTGATCGAATCTTGGAGACATGAGTGCCCAGAGAGCGATGGATTCCGCCACATTCAATGCACAATATGATCCCAAGATTCAGAGATACCCATTCGACCTTGGAAGTCGAGCCACAATCTGCACAGTACTGGTTGCCTTGGTCGTTGTTTCTGATCAGATCGAGCAGCTTTGATGGGTTTTCTTCGTAGCTATTGCTGCTGGTCCTGGTGTAGGTGGGCCTAGCACCGACGGTAATGCGCCGTGACACTCCGCCCGCGTCACTTCGCTGGGAATAGCCATGCGGGCCAGACTGTGACGAGCTCTTGCCTGTGAGCATATGTCCAAATTCACGTCCGGCGTGCTCTTTTCGACCTTGCTGAGGCACTTGCCCGCCGGCCTCCACAGCGCTCTGGAGCGCATTATTGATTGCATTGATCCAGTTATTCATCTCGTCTTCAGTCGTAGCTTGATAAACTCGCTTGTACTGGGGTGTGATGACCTCAAAGCAAAATCGGCGCTCGGCATCCCGAGCAATACGGACTGAAGCCATACGAAGGTCAATTGGCTCGCGATGCAGATCCAACTTGTCCTTCCAGTTGCTGTATTCTGAGAGCTTCCCTTGATCAAGAACGATCCAGAACCTAGAATTCATTAGTTTGACGCAAAGACCAATTTTGTCAAGTGCTTACTTGTGCCAGGCTCCTTTGGGATCAATATGTGAATTAGGCTTGCTCAATGCCCACAAAAGTCCTTCTTTCCGATATTGGCCAACGGTAGATTTGTCGGTTGTGGATACCGAGCTTTCATCAAGATCACGGATGCCTTTGAATTTGCTCGGCGTCGGCGCTATCGAGGCTGCGCTTGGTGATGTCGACAGGACACCGGCCACTGGCACCGTTGAGTTGGTGGTCGGCGACAGGGTTTTGTTCGATGCATGGCCGAACTGAGAGCTTGTGCTATCGGCCCTGCTAAGGTCAGTGTCTGAGGTATATCCGGTGTGACCATTTTGCGTTCCCACTTGGGTCGACATGGCTGGAGGATGGTGATGCAGATCGGAATCGACAGAGGTTGGCCCATTCTTCTCGAGATTCCGTCTCTTTTCCTCTCTTTCTGTCCTTTGTAGGTTGTATTCCTTGTCAGCTTCAGAGACCTCTTTTATGAGAGCGTCCAACTGCGGGGTCAGGCTTTCCACCTTTTTCGCAGTCGCGAGGAAAGCTTTCGCCTGGCCGTCAGCATATTTCGTGAGCTGTGAGAGGAGTTCCTGCTCCTTGCGCCCGCCATGAAGGTCTTGCATGAAAGTCGAATAGTCGAATCGCTTGAGCTCGAAGTTCTTCCTCTTCGTCTGATATTTGGAATCACTCTCTGCACGTTTCTTGTCCTTCAAAGAGTCTTGCCTCTGACCAAGATACCGGCCCACATAGGCGTAATAGTCTCGACTCTCGTCGTCAAAGTCTTTCTTCTTCGCCTCCACTTGTTTGATGTCCAGATTGTACAGCTTCGAAATGGGATCGATGATTTGTTTCTGCAATAACGTGCTGTTTCCCTTCTCATATTTCAGTATCTGCTGAGCGATATTCAGGAAATAATGGTCGAGAGCGGGTTTGAAAGCTGTTGCATTGGACATGGAGGCCTCCTGGAGCGCTCTCAAGAATTCGGACATGGCCTGGTTGCACTCCACTTGAGCCTGCTGCGCTGCTTCGGCTTTCTTCAGCACCTTTTTGATTTGGACCTTCATAGTCCCCGTCTTCTGCTCTAGCGCCTTCATGGTGGCTCTAAAGACCGGACCGTCCTCAACTGTGCTGACGTCCTCTCCGGGCCTTGCACACTGGACGTCGATGACCGGAAGCGAAGGCGCCGTGGTTGGCGCACTAAAACTGTAGTCTTTGGCCCGCATCTGCGGCGAAGCCGGCACTTGCGGCTCTGCAGGGCCCTCTGAGTCGCTGACCGCGGACTGATATGATTGCGACGAGGGCATCCTGTGCCTATGGAGGGGTATCGGTATTTCCAGACCTGGAGAAGCTAGTGGCATCCCGTTTGGGAAGGTCGCGTTCTGGACCCAGAATGAAAAAGACGCGAGGGTATTAAGTCTGTGCGCTCTAGAATCATACTCGAGGAAACTGCAGCAATTGCGCCAACCTCCACCTTTGTCCTCTTGAGCCTTTGGGGGTTTCCAATGCCATGTCCATTCGTAAGTGACTGCAGGACTCCCATGCGTCCCGAAGTCGCCGATAAACTGGACGTTGGAATTCTTGTGCAGATTTGGGTCGGCGTGAAATTCGCGTGTTACAAGGGTGTCCAGCTCTTTGGCATTCTGAGCGTAGGCAAAAGTCAACCCGGTAATTGTTGCGTCGACAGCAGCGGTGGAGGTCGAGGGCGTCGCAGGCAGGGGCCCGGAGTTCTGTCGCGTTATAAAAGTGAAGTGGATTTCGAGTTCATCTTCAAGATCCAGCCTAGGAAGGAAAGAAAGGGTGGCAGAATCAGGGTCCTAGTTGGGCTGTCAGAGGGCATTCGTATTTAGCAGGGGTTTCATTTCGCACCTGAATATAGGAAATGGGTCTGTAGTCGGTGGCATCTGGTTTTCCAACTAGACGCAGGGCTGGATATGCGTTGGGCGCGAGACTCAAAAAACCTCTCCGTCGGCCATTGCTGACGACGATGGAACTGATGGAGACTGGTGGCTATCAGCCATAGTTGCGGGGAAAGGCAAGAGGCACATACAGCGCGCTTGATCCTTTAAGTATAGCAGGGCGCCATCGTCCAGCCTGCTGCTGATGTTGCCCATCGCTGAGGGCCTGGAACTCAGGCTCGAGAATTAGAATGCGCCAGGATGGGCGGAGACTGTTTGGATCGAAGGGGGGTGGGTTTGGTTCTTCGGAGAAGTTGCGGGCGAGACGAAAGCTGTCGATACTGAAAGGGAAGATGGAAAGATGGATGATGCTAAGACTGCAACGCCGGAGGCGTGTTGAGGTATGTACAGATCAAAGTGAGAGAGTGACTTGAGTAAATGACCGAAGTTGTGGACGTGATTTGTGGAGGAGACATGGGCTGCGCTTCGCTGCGCCTTCAATGTGAGACGGTTCAATTAAGCGAAGGAAGGCAGATGCGGCGCCACCAGCGCAAGACACCGCATCCTGTGCATCCAAAGGGCCCCTCGCCAAGACCAGCGTTCGGAGCTTAATTTCAACACGACCCTTCACGCTTACCGTTTTTGGTCAAGATTGACGCCGCCCTGTGGCCAACAAGCCGGCACATGATACGACGAGGATGGGTTGGAGGGGACGGAGCCTTGTTGTCAGCCTACCAGCCTCACCAGCTCAAGTGACACGGCGAGCGTCTCAACTCGCGGATATTACGCTCTGGGATTCGGTCACCTGCGCAATCATCAACACCTACCGGCCACACTAGGACCCGATCCCCTCCTCTTTTGCCCTATTTCTCTTGTGCAAGGTAAGAATCCGCCCAGGTTGTCTAGTTTCTACGTTGAGGTGGCTCGGGTTCTGATTAGAGATGACTGGATCCGTGAGCTATGCGGCGGATGGGCTGAGAGAATATTTCAACGTCTAAGGGATTGACCAAACCTGAGCATACCCGTGTCTCTCGCATCATTTTGATTTGGAGGTTGCCTTACGCAGAGGAAAAGAATATTGTCAAGGTCAAGGAGTTGGGACTCCTTTTCCAGGCTACCCCAGCATCTACGCCAATTCAACAGAAAACCTGCTGGGCTGGCCGTCTCTTGACATTTGAGCACACCGCGTATTCGCCACCCGCCGCCACCCCAACACCCCTTCTCTTCCCCAAACCCCATTAGAAGCCTCAAATCCAAGCCAATCCCTCCTCGAGAATTCCCGCCTGCCTCCACGCATTCTTTTCAAATGCCTCGACAGACTATCCATCAAAATCGCCACCAGGCACGATGGACCGCCAAATCGGGTGGCGTGAGCACACCGTCCCCGGCCACGATCATAAGTAGCGAAGTTGGCGAGGTGTGATGAATATGCACAAAGGGGTCCTACTCGCAGAGGGCTTCTAAACTGCGTACAGTTCGTGCTTCCAATTGTAAGAGGGGAGTTTCTGGCAGGGACGTGATCAGTGGCTCGGGAGAGACGATCTGTAAAATGGGCGGCAAGTCAGCGTGCGTAGCTTCGATACCTTGTACCAATGCGTAGACTTGCCCTCCTGGAACCTTGCGTTAATGCCTGGGATTAAGCCGAGTCAGTTATGCCTATGGAAAACCGCCCGCCCATCAACCATCGGAACCTGGCAGGACACACGCTTGATTCTTCTGTCCGCTGCTCCAATCCCTAGTGACGGCCGCCAGTAAGAGCTTCCCCAGACGCCAATCTTGTTCATATCAACGTCAGATCTGGACTGAGCATAGGTCGTGGCGTGCGAGAAGTCGCTAGTCTGCTGCGTCGGCTAGATCTCGCTGTGTGGTACCCCGTCCTAGGTGTCACTATTGCCGAAGCCTCGGCGATCATGGGCTAGTACGGACATTGGCAACTTGGAGACGAAGTGCTCGGCAGAGGGGTCCAGATCCATCTCTTTCACCTCCAACCAGGCATGGCAGGGGTTTCGAGTCTGCATGGTTGGGCTTGAAGAACCAGCCTCGTAGGCTAACGTTGTCGTCCGCTTGGAATGAGACCTCTTCTCGTGGCGTGGCGGATAGGGCGATCGACTTGTGTTATGGTATGTCGAACTTGGACGATAACCTTGGAACAAAGTATGAGAGCAGACTTCGTATTCAAATACCGATTGAACAACCAATGTTCCAGGCCGATTGCATACGACTTTACATAGTGAGAAGCTCAAATATCTTACCTTGCCTGTTATCCGTCTCCTGCTGAACACAGTTCATCCTGGTTCGGCCGTCCTTATTGTACGGAGGTCAGAAGTGCGACACTGGTCGAGTCTCGTACTTTGAAGGACGGTACTGATATAAAGGACCAAGAAACATGCGACGAGACCGCCGAATATCGAAACATGTACCGTGGCCTCTAACCGACATCATATGTTGTCGAGTGTTTGCTTGTTGTGAAAGGAGAAGTGCTAAAGCCCGTAGTTATTCCCACCAAAACCAACCCCTTAATGCATCTCAATTGACCCAGTTCCATTTAACTAACCGTGGGATTAAGCTTAACTCCCGAGCCAAGGATCGGTACCTGGTCAAGAAATTTGTCAACCGTGTCAAAAGAAAGGCAGGAAATTCGAAGCTCGGTCAAATAGGCGGTAAAGAGGGACTTGAGACTCCCGATGGCGCTCCACACGGTAGAATAGGGTTCGGTTTCGGGTGAGGTCGAAGGTGACCAAAAGTTGGCGCGAAGGTGAGAAGGAAGGAGTGGTTATAAAAGCGGCAGGGCTACGGTGAGTCGCACGTGAAGTACCAGCAATCTTGATCCGCCAAGCCAAAATTTCCGCAAGGCTCCCCCAGATCTGTGAATCGGCCAAATACAATCATCCTCTAAGGGAAAACAGAGCTCGGGATTTCGGACATGCGGAGCCAGAATACAGAATGAGGGAAGATAAAGGCAAACGATTTTGAATCTCCTTCACTTACCTTCCGCCGACAAGCTTTGCGAATACAATGGCCTCAAAACCGGCGAAAGAGTCCCAGAACGCGGGCAATCCAAACCAGACGTCTGAACTGCACCCTCCCTGCCTGCTGAAAATATACTGACGATCACATGATAGACTCTTTCTCAAGAACCTCCCCGAAAAGATCAACAAGAAAGAGCTGAAACGTGCCCTGTACATGCTCTTCTCTATCTACGGTCCCGTCCTCGATATTGTCACAAGCCGCATTGGATCGAAAGGGCAGAGCATGCGAGGACAGGCCCACGTGGTCTTCCGGGACATACAGACGAGCACACAGGCCATGCGAGCTTTACAAGGGTTCGACTTCTTTGGCAAGGAAATGGTATGAAGAAGCCCAAGTTCTCCATTGGAAATCACGGATTAAACCATTGAGGCAGGTTATTGTCTACGCAAAGGGCCAATCGCACATAATCCCGAAACTCAGAGGGACCTTCGAGTCTCCCACTACTGCTGCAACTACTGCTTCTGATGCCACAGCTTTACAGAAATCCATCTTTAATGCTCCACCAAGTGGAATTCCAAGCAAGCCCGTCGAGACTGGAGTCAAACCAGCAGGAACCACTCCCGATGGAGGCCCACACGGCACAAAGAGACCAAGAGACGAGGAAGAGGAGGAAGAGAGCGAAGTGGAAATGGAGGAAGACGAGGATGATGCCCCAATGGAGGAAGATGAGGATGATTAAAGCCGGCATAGAAGGAAACGCCGCCGTGTCTAGCTCAATCGAACATCGCCAAAGCCTGTCGCCGTCATGACGGTCCAAGGCAGTTGAAAACCCTCTCTTGGCGGAAATGGAAACCGTATCAGCACCTGCTTGCCATATTCAGGCGATGCCATAATACGAAGCTGGCAATCAAATGGAAGATCGTCGAAAGGTTCAGGGGAGCATTCTTCCGTCACAAGTGCTCATAAGCTTACTCGGAATGTGCAGGCCCACAGCAGACCCAATCAGTCCCAGCCAAAGTATGAGATATTCCTCCGGAGTGAGAGGGCCCGGTCCGAGGACTGAAAGGGCATCTTGCGTGTTACATGGATGCAGGAAGAAGGCCGGACGGTCTGTGACAGGATGGTGCTGCGAACAGTCAGTGCCTGAAAAGATATGGGAGCAGTGTTGACCTACCGCCATACTAATACCTCCCATAACGCCAATTCCACGCAATGAAGTGAGTGATGGTTCCGGCACCAACCATTCATAAACTTGGTCCAGATCTAACGCCTTGTTGACTCGGCCATATCGGCAAATAAACCAAAGGACTGGTACAGAATAGATTGGGGACAAGGTAATGGAGAAATCAACAATCAGAGAGTCTAAGTTGTCGACGCTCGGCGCAAGCTGGGGATTGTCAGACAAAATGGTGAAAACGGTTAGGGGGCTCCCTACGCTATCTCTAATGACCGAGTCTTCTATGCCAGTGTCAATCAGCTCATCGTTCTGCGCATCACCATGTTCACTGAGAGTGCTTTTTTTGCCATCCTTGCAGGTGATCTTCCGTCTCTGTCTGATTAACAACTCCTCACCGGTCCACCTCACGCTCAACCAGTCCGTCTGGCTGATCCTGTCCGAGCTCCGCTGCTCCCATGCCCGACACGCTTCGGAAAATTCCTGCTGCGTGATGCTGGGAAATGCGCGCAGTGACTCTGTCATCAGTCCAGAAGAAAGAGGCGAAGGCTCATGTTTCAGCAGGGCTGAATCCTGACAGTTTCGAAATTTAGGAGTCTTGCATCTGAGAACTAAAGGCCACTAGGCCTCTACCACAATGCCAGGGTGGCGGGCTCGGCGCCAAGCCGAGCACATGTGAGTGCGGGGAAACACTTCCCTCATTTCCTTTCTGGTCGTCCACGCAATTTTCGACAGAGCCTCAAGTCGAAACGAAAGATACCGTCGTCACGCAACACAAGTGACCTTTAACAGTGTTCAACATGGCCGGCCACCCTTTGCGCGAGGCGCCGCGAGACGTACGCTTCTTCGTTTTGCATTCTTGTTCCTAAACCTTCCCTAGCCTCTGGCATGGGAGCATCTTTTTCTCCGCCCCCGTCTACCTATTCCGCTTCGTCAGGCCGACTTACTCTGCTGTCTACTCTTAGCTCTCCGAAATCGCCAAACAAGAAGAATCCTTGATCCTCCCCCACTTCACGGCGGACGACGCTCTCGAGATTGGCCTGTCGATCCGCAACCGTTTGCGGGCTCTCTCGACCTTGGCCGCCGTGGTGTCCATCTCTCTCGCCAATTCCTCCAACCTACTGTTCCACGCCGTTTCGCGCCCGGGGATCCAACCGGACAACGACATCTGGGTGTCACGGAAGAGGAAGACGGTGTCAAGATGGGGGGTGAGTACGTGGTTCATGCACAACAAATTCAAGGGGGACGAGGAGGCCTTCTCTAGAAAATATATGCTCGGTGCAGAAGCAGGGAGTTATGCGATTCACGGCGGCGGTGTGCCTGTGAGGGTGAAAGGCGTGGAGGGCATTGTGGGAGTAGTGGTCGTGAGTGGACTGAAGCAGGATCAGGATCACATGATTGTCATTGAAGCGTTGGGGGAATTTCTGGAACAGTGCAGCAAGGAAGAGCCACGAAAGACAGGAGAAGGTGAAGAAAGGAGGTGAAGTGACATTGGTCGGTGCGTGGTACAGTATACACAGGCAACACAAGGTAAGCTCGGGCGGGCTTGGAACGATCTATCAGATTTCTTGATGGGCATATAGAGGTCCTAATTAATGGATGCGGTGGTATCCGGAACAGGAGGAGATCTTTCGTAACGCAACGGGCACCATTGGAAGCCCAGCTGGATCAGGGCATGGCGGGCGTCGAGGGAAGTCACAGAACCCGCAGCGTTTGTGCCGCTAGGTACGTACCTAGGTACACACTACTTCGATCGATGGCTTCTGTCCCACAGTCCATGCTCGAAAACTGCGGCTTTCCCCCATCCTCCCAAGGTACGTAGGCACTTGAAGCCAATTCTGTCTGTCGTTCCACCTCTCTCTTCTAGGCGCTCGACTTCTCGGGTGCAATCGACACCAAGTCAAGTCCGAACCACGGGTCGTGACTGTGCTACAACTACCTAGCTCGCCAGGTACCTCCAGCGACTTGGCTCCAATCAGCGTCGAACCACAAAATGGGCACAGGATCCCATGGCCTCTTTCTTTCTTTCTACTCTTTAATCCCTTGGTGGGCCTCTTCGCACCGAGAAGTCTTGATCCCATCCTGTGCGAAGCAAAAGCGCCCCATGCAACAACCCTCAGGATACGATGTACCGGTGCCCTGATCCTCCCCGAGGCTGGGGGGTGCTCTCGAGGAAGCCCAGCACGACAATGTTGGCTTAGATGTTTCCTTTTGTCTCGTTGAGCAGGGGCGGAACTTTTGCTCTGCGCTTGACGAGCGATCATCCGTCGCTGGCTGGCCTTCAGTCAATTCATATCGGCCGGACAATTCTCAGAGAAGCCTCTCTCACGGGAATAAAGGTACTATGCCGGAGAGCAATTTCCGCGAAATGCGATAATACGGCTTCAGGATGCGGTGGAGGAGAGAGGCGACACCTCTCCTACCCACCCCCCAGTTGGCAAGGTCGTGCCTTGACGATAGGGACGAATCTGGCCTTCTGGGCAGCCAAGGTCAGTGTGAAAGGGGTTATGTGTGCCGAGGATAGACTGCTGCCTTCTCTTGCCTATGCTTCTAGGATCCCCTACAACCTACCGTCGGACAATGTGGTTCCTTTGAACGATGCCACCCTTTTGGCGCCGTTTGCCATGACAGCTGTGGGGGTAAAAGTCATGTCCTTTTATGTTTTGATACGTGTGGTGTAGGTTCCCGTTGAAGCAGAAGCCTTGGGGCATGGGATCTCTCTACGACTATAGTGTTTCAGAGAGATTACACCAGAAAATACATCCTCAAGCAGACCGGGCATGCCGCCAGGAGAGCCCTCGATAAAGAAAAAGCGGATCTTCCCGGATGGTGGTGACTGGGGAGCTATCAATGGATATTTGATTTCGCCATCCTTCAGGCAACGGGGCCTTCTTGCGGGAACGGGCGCAGGCTCCTCATGGCTAGGGAAGATCCCGTTCTAGTTTCCCCGAGCTTCCTGGCTTCATGGACGAGCAGCGGTCGTTGCGTTGTCTCCCGTGTCACCCTATTCTGTGATAATCCTGACTGCTTAGAATCCCCAAATTTTCGCCTTCAATCCAGCGTCCGCACTGACGGAGTTATCCCTCGATAACTATCGGAAATACGCTAATCATCGGCGTGACGGACAGACTACCAGTAAGACTGTTTGCAGAACAATGTTAAAACGCAGAATGCCACGTTCATGCTGATGTTTGGCCGTCAGTGGGAGAACGCGGTGGAGTCGCGTGCAACAGAATCATCCGACACTTCGATGCGTAACAATGTCGCTACGGATCCCCTGCTGAGATTTTGTCTCCTAACTCAGCCAGTCTGCGCTGTCGATATTACGGACTGTCGAGTTTGCCTCATCGTGGGAGACACTGCTGGACTCAGGACGTCTTCCCTGAGTGCGGTCCGGAAGGTGGACTGGAGGGCTCGCCGGCGGCACATCTGGGCAGATGACCACCGGCCAATGTTCTCGAGGGGCGTGTGAAGTCGACGTGGTCCGCCTACCCACGACGGGAAGCAATGTGGGAAGCTAATGTGGTTTGAAGTGTCCTCAGCTGCTGAGGCCAGCAGAAAGGTGTGAGGAGCCTGCCAGCGGACAGCCATGTTAGGTCAAGGACGGTTAGACGAGCAACAAACAGGATGGGTACACAGCATGAAGGAACCTCAACCAAAGAAGCCGGTTTGATCACATGGCCCGCAACCCACCTCGAGAGATGAAAGGCCAAAAGAGCAGGGTCTTCAATGCATGAATAAGACATCTCTTGGGCAGACATGCGTGCAGAAGGTGAGTCACAGCCTGTGCAACTTGGATGAGGTGGATGCGAGTCCGACTCGCATCCCCCAAGACGTTGGGGAGATGATGGGTTGCGGTTGCCCAGGATTTGAGAAGTGTAAGCTGATAATCCAGATGTCCAAGGCCGAGGTCGGCCTCTGCGGGGTGATCTATTTACATTTGACCAGAAACGCGCGAGCCGCTGCCCAGCTGGTGGACGGCCGAGACTCGTGTCTCCTAGCTCGGTTGCTTGCACGCACCGGAGAGCGGAGCCAAAGGTCAGGTTAGAGCATTGCAAAGAGCGTCGAAGTCAGAAGCAGTCAGCCCGACGGCGGATCTGGTGTGCATAGGCTGAAGTTTGGGTAACACGGGTGCTTTCCCGAACTGATGGTGCAGAGGGGTCAGGCAAAAGAGTTATCCCAGAAGAAGCTGCAGATGTGAAGAAATCAAGCTGATATCTTGCGGTCGACGGCAGACTTTCTGGCATTTTGCCGACGACTACTGCGCGAACAGCTCGGGCAGCATCGATCAGGTGTTGTCCAATGAAAACAGGCCCGGCTGCTCCGTTGCGAGCGTTATATGACCCTTGGATACTAAGCGAGGTCCGTCCTTGAGCAAGAATTGGTGGAATCACACCAAGATGGACTAGTTGGTGACACAACAGCAGTTCGCAGAATTTTGCAGGTCGAGACCATTAGGCTACCCTCGGCAATTCTGGTTGTACATGGGTAGGATCCTTTCGGTTACACAGCATCGATGCCGTTGTAGTTTGTATTGTGTATCCACGAGGGGGGGAGGAAGAGGGAAGGAAGAGGGAGAAAGAGAGAGATAGAAGAGAGGATCCTTCAAATCCCTCGACAACAAAGGCAGGCCGTACGAGTAAGCCCATGTGTGTGACGGCTCTGACATGGGAAGTGGTAGTAAATATGTAGGTAGCTGTAGTCGAACCCGATCTACGCATGCACGCTCCAAAATGGCCGTTTCTAGGTGTTTGCCGCTATCAGCACCCAGCAGCCATAGCTCTGCGAAGGACAGAAGAAGAGTAGAGGAGGCGGGACAAAAAGGAGACGTGTTGCGTCACCAGCGGTTGCAACATTAGCATCAGCCATCAGGAGGACATCCATCAACATCAGCAACGGTGGCAAAGAAAAGGATTTGGAAATAACAATACACCGAGGTACGGAAAGATACATAACACAAAACTTGGGCCCAGCAATATGGATCGGGTAGATGTACTGATGCATAAATAGAGGGAAGGAAGGAGAGATCTGGTACATATGACCAAGAACCATCGGCACTGGCAAGAAGAGACACTTATTCCCGAGTACTGGGTAAGTTATTACATCGGCACCATGCATACTTTCCATACCCCTCCTTTTCAGCCCCCATAATCAGTCACCAAGTCATTACATACGAGTGACACATGCACGATTACAGAGGCCGGAATACTCTATTGGCATTAGCACACTCATTCGTATCGGCATTGGCATTACCGCATTACCAAGAGAAAGGAGGGGAGAAGAGGGGGCGTAAAGGATAAAGGCCCTTCCCCTGTCGATCATAAGTGTTAACACCGTGGTTGTAGCTATTAGGTAGTCCTTGCCCACCACTGGGGTACCACTGCGTACCTACCTCCCTCGATACGTATTTGTAAGGTACAATACGGAGAACTCCACCGAGGTTCTAGGTCTCTGGGTAGGAAGGAAGTCCTCCGTCCATGGTAAAGCAATACTCCCTAGGCAGCAACGTCCCAGCTCGACAGGGAACTCCGTAGCAATACTTCGTGGTAATATGTGCTTGTAAAAAGGTTTCTGAAAAGAGGGGCTATTCGGAAGTCCACTTCCGGCCTAGAACAATCTGACTTTCTTGGTTCCCGCCGTCCTCCGCCTGTCCTTGGCCTTGCTTGTTCCGGTATTGTCGAGGACACTACGTGTAATAGCCCGATCGAAACTGACATCTTACCAAGTATTATTACAGGAAGTTGGTGACGCAAAGGCGAGATTCGAGAAACTTCGCCAGCCTCTTTTTCTCGCTCTTTTCGCGTCCAGGCCGGTGGGGAGAATAACGTTTAATTTAGCAGCAGAGAGGCAATCACAAGTGGAAAGACACTAACTAGTAAGCATACAGTATGCTAATGCTATAGTGTGTCGTGCTATGCAATGCAATGCACTGCGCTGCGTGTATGCGTGGATTTTTGGTTCTATCAGAAAACAAAACACCATGTCGCCGTGGATGGAGGGCTATTGGAGATACCAAATTATTCGTCCCAATCGCTTCATGTAACGAAAGTAAATGTAATGTAATTTAATGCTAACGCAAGGCAAGGGAAGTGGGCGGAGGGGCTCTCCGGGTCTAACTAACACATGTCAGGAAAATAAAATAATAAAGGGGCGATGGTTGATGGTGGCAAATAACAACACACGAAGCAAAAAGGGCTTTTGGTGATGCTTCCCCTCCAAGCTGCCGCTCCCTCTCCTCTTGTGCGCCCTCTCCAAGTCCCAGCCCCAAAAGAGGAGCCCAACAGAAACAAACAGGCGGAAAAGACTGGCTGATCGAGATCGAACCACGTCTCAACGTGCCATACGTCAGCCACTCAGGAGAGCCGTCAGACCACACTTGCAGCCCCTTCGCTCCTCTCCCGGGTCGCACAATAAACAAATTCTCAGACGCGAGAGAGGGGAGAGGGGAGAGGGGAGAATGCAAGACGCAGACAAAGGAGAACAAATGGCACCAGTAGGAGAAAACCCCAAGATGCAGTTGCATCCATCCACACAACACGCACACACCTTGGGCACTTCCCATTCCTTGCCTTTGCCTTCCTCCTTTTTTCCCTCACAGCGCTTCTAGAGCCTTCGCGATCCGCTCCGGTCCTATTTCGTGTCCTCCTCCCATCTTGGTCCTGAGGTCCGCCATTGGTTTTCGGGTCGCTGGCCCCGGCCGTGCATCCCAGCCTCTGGGCCCCTCGTCCTCAGACACCTCGCTGGGCGGCGTCGAGCTCTCCGAATCCGTCAAGATCTGGTACTCGGTCACGGTGCTTTCAAAGTCGGGCAGCTCTGCGTCTTTAGCCTCCTGGATCCAGAGCTGCTCGGCCCTTTGCAGCTGCTCGAACCATTCCCGCACCGTCATCTCTTTGCCCCGGCAGGTGAGTAGCAGCTCGCCATATTGGGATAGCCCGGCTCGCGACGCCTTGTGTTTCCAGTCCGGGTGCGCATCTTCTAGCAGGTAGCGCCGTTCTGCAGACAACGCGTTCATGTAATTGAAAAATGCACCTTCAGAATCTAGAACGGTCCCCCCCCCGGTATTAGCTTTGGCCTGTATTCCCCGCTTCGCAGTGGCAAATGTTGGGAAAACTCATTGAGAGGGAGGGAGGGAGAGAGCTTTGTTGTCAGGTAGGGATGCGAACTTACACGACCCTGGCATTCCTGGCAGAGGAATCAATCGGTCAAACCGCTCGTCCAGAAGTTCTTGTAATCTGAGGTACGAGGCGTAGACAATCGAGGTAGATTCTTGGAGAGTCCAGAGGGCGTCTTGTACCGCCTCCGGCAGTTGCATGAGCATTGATGCTGGCAGTGCCGCGACATGTGAGACATTGCTGGGGTCGTGTGAATGGGGAGGCTCCAGGAAAAGAGCATCGGCAATTGGGCTGGCATTCATGGTGACTGACGGGGCGAGTGGACGAGCGGACGAGTGGCCGTGGCTATAAACCAGTGCTGCGAGGGTCTGAAGGCGCGAAGACTCGAGAGGAACAGAGGTGGGATGGACGATGAGGATCAGAGGAAGGGGAGTGAAGTCAGTATATATGCATCACGGTTTCGCGGGACGTTTTAAATGCTTGGTGGAGCGAATACTTGAACCGTGTAGTCAGATCAGGCCACAAATGTTTTTATATGCGCCATTCATCCAGTCCGTATAGAGCCATGACAGACTTGGACAGACTGGGAAGTGGTACAAGGGCGGCTGTTGTGATTGGACCGGAAGTCTGCATGACGAGGTGGAAACTCGGAACTATCAGAACTTGAAGAACCCAACTTTGTCAGATGTGGTCAATAGAATCATCCCCATTAGCCTGCATGGGCTGGGATAAGGAATCAACTAATGTGACGTAAGTCAGTGATACAGCAACAAAGAGCCATGTTTCCTTTCTTTCTTCCACCACGCACATCCACCGCCGCGTGACTATTCCCACACAGACATCTCCGATCCAGTAGTGAGTACGTTGAGACAGTGCCACCGCGTACGGAGTAATTCGATGCATACTCCAACCAGACCTTGAACGCTGGGCCATGGAGAAGTCCGTCGGAAGAAAAAGCATAATGTGACGCCAGTTCTATTCAACTTTTCTGCGGATAACGAGAGCCGCAGCAATGGAAAATGTGAGCTTAAGTAGGGAATGACATGTGTTCCTCCGCCGTGCTCATATCTTCCACGACAAAGCCGCCACGCCCGTCCTAGAGACAATACGTCAATGGGGGTACAGAGCGCAACGTCTTTTTTCAACATCGATTTCGAAATTTATTGGATTCTGCACCGCTGATCAGCCATCACACAGCAAAAGGGTTGCAAAAAAGACCGACGACACATACCGTTGAATGAGGTGCACGCCAGAAGCCGTCTCGACGACGCTGCTCAGCTCGCCCGGCTGCAGGGCAAATGCCGCATCTTCAAACTCCTTCTGCATCTGCCCTTTGCCGAAGAATCCCAGGTCGCCACGCTTGCGAGCACTGCTGCAATCCGACTCCGAGACGGCCAGGTCGCCCAGGGTCTTCTCGCCCGAGCGGATTTGTTCTTCGTAGCCCTTCAACATTTGAATCGCCTCTTCTTTGGAGCGGGTGATGTTGGTCTCTCTCCAGCTCGAGGGACGACGACTATCCTTGTGCTTGACAAGCAGATGCGCCGCACGGATCTTCCCCTCGCTGCCGGCTCCATCGATGCGGGCGTTGGCAGACGAACTGTGGTGCTGCGCCATATAGACCTTGAGCTTGTCGGTGTCGGCATTTTCTGGGGGCTCCCATCTCGACTCGTGAGTCTTCTGGTTGAAGTAGTAGGGCAGATTCTTGGAGTTGGAATGGCGGACCTCCCAGTCAGGGGGCAGCCCGGTATCGGTCTCAGTCTATTGTAGAGAGTATCAGTAGGTATTCGTTTTGCGACGGTAGGCTTCAGCGGGCGAGCGAATCGCCATACCATGGCTTTTTGAAGCGATTCTGCAGATGCAGCACTGCTCTTGAGAAGGATCTTGGTCAAAGTGTCGATCACGTAGATGAAATCACGAGAAGGAGGATAAGTTATTGTTGGGATGCCCCAGTTCTGTTTGGTGTTGCTATCACTTCAGGGCGCGACCGAGGTGGGGCAGTGGATTTGTCGTCCGTCAGCTGGTCAAATAATGTGTCGAGAAGAATGAGCCTGCGAAGGAGGGCAGCATAGGGCTGAAAAGCGGTTAAATGGGCAGGAACAGGAGCCTGACTGGCTGATCTCGTGCGGTCTGGACGGTCATAGGTTCGCTGATGGAGCTTGTAACCTGTGTTGCCTGTGGAGAAGGTGAGAGAAGACAGTGCAGCAGGACAATTCGCAGGGAGTCAGACGTGCCTAGGTAGACCAGCTAAGAGTGAATGGACCAAGAACCTGCCAGAGAAATGAGAAACATTCCGTTAAGAGTCACTCGGGACTGGTCAAGCGGTGAATCACACTGGCATTGGGTGGGTTTGGCAGCTTTGTTTGGAGCGATGGCCTGATTTTCGGCGAGGTACATAATGTAGAAGTATGGCGCAGTCACCTCACGAATTGCGGGGAGCAGCAATCCGTGCACCTTACGAGGCACAGTCTCTTCGACAACACCAAGCCCTTCACACCGTCTCGCCATCTGAACGTGCTAAGTCACTTTGACGCCCTGTCACTGCTGAACCAGCCATTTATCTACGCCTCAATCGCTTGCCTTTCCTCGTCGGTGCCTCGCTCCTATCCGCCCAATTACTCAGCAAGACCATACATCCGTCCGTCTGGTGTACCACATCAAACGTTGACACTCACCAGCGCCTCCATCCGTGAAAGACAGCACTTTCAGAACCCCGACCTCAAATTGCTCTACTCTCCTGTGTGTCGGATCAAGCCTTACGCATTCAACATGTCTGCTGCGGCCTCCCCATCTCCCAGTGAGGGCGAGAGCAAGCGTGGCGAAGTCTCCTACCGATTCTGTCAAGAATGGTACGCCTCCGATCTCTTCCCAAAGACTTCTCTGACCTGTTTCCCAGCTCGAACCTCCTCTACCCGAAAGAAGACCGCGCCACCTCCACCCTCCTCTACATTTGCAAGGCTTGCCATGCGACTTCACAACACGACTCAGCATGCACCTACCGTCAACAACTCGGCGCCAATGTTCAAGAGACAGCTGGAACCACCGCTGATGTTGCACACGATCCAACGGTGGGTTCTGCTTTTCCTGAGCTGCCCCCTCTCTGTACCCTTTGCGGGGAGCCGTTGAGATGCAACAAGTGCGGTGACATCTAGCGGTAAAAGGCTCGGGAGTCCAGAAGACTCGGCGAACGGTCTCTGGATCGAGTTCTCCTCTCCATTCCGGGTCAAGTCTGAAATTCTGAGACTTTGTGGCTGACGGCTTGCTTTCCTTGTTCTTTTTACAGCTTCCTCGAGCACCAAAGAAATGTCCAAAATGCCGGGAAACGGAAGCTGTGTATTTCCAGTCGCAACAGCGTGCCGCAGATACCGGAATGGTGAGTGGCTGTCTTGCAACCCTCAGCCTCAAGCTTCTGACAGGAATACCTAGAAACTCTATTACGTATGCACCTCCTGCAATCATGTCTACACTGTCGTTTGAGCATGGCGTTGGTGGCATGAATGGTATTATATCATGGTTGTGATACCACGCATTCCAGGAGTTTTGGATTTGGGTGGATCATTTGGGAACGATTTATGAGGGATGGGATGGATAGGCCGACGGAAAAAAACATCATACTGGCACGCACGGCAGCACGCACACAGAAACAGCTCCAGGACTTTGGGTTTCACAATTTTGCTTCTTTGGCCTTTTGTACAAGAATTTTGATCAACCACGGTGAGGAGTGTCCATCCTTCAACCTAGCCCAACAAGCATGCAGTCGCAGCCACTGATTGTTTTATACATGCATCGGTGCCAATGACAAAATCTTTGACCACTTTTTATCCCGTAGTTCTGCTCCCACTATGCTTGACAGCCTCGTCCCAATGGGATCGCCATTCTTGTTGATAAGGACACAGGCATTGTCGTCGAACCGTATCAGACTCCCATCTTTCCTGCGCTCCTCCTTTCTGGCCCTCACAACCACTGCGTGTCGGATATCGCCTCGCCGCACTTTGTTGGCAATACTCAAACTCGATCCGCCTGGAGTCTCGGCGCCGAACGACCTTTGCTTCTGGACGACGACGATGATTCTGTCCCCTGGAAGCAGACGGAGGGATCAGTGGAAAGGCCACATAGACACTGGCGACATCTCTTGAGTACCTATTCTAGCAGCTTGTTTCTTCTTCCTCATAACTGCGACACACTCGACAATGGCAGCTCCAGAGTTGTCGATGCAATTAAGCATCGTCTAGTGTCAATCAACCGTCAGCATGAAACACGAGCAACTGAGCCAGAGGATGGTAATATCCACCTTCAATTGTATCATCGCGGCGGCATAATGCGCCCTCTCGTAGCAGAGAGTTGCAGGATCAAGATGTGCTCCGTAGTTGCAACTTCAAAGTAAGAATCAGTCTAGCTGCAGATAAATTATAAAGTGGATAGGGATTCAATTGGGTCCCCGGGTGAAAAAGCGCATGGGTGGGCAGGCATGCACGGCACACCAACTAATTAAACCAACCAAACAGAGCGGCCCGAGGAGTCGCCAGCTCTGATTTCGTTAAGGCTTAAGGCTCGTCACCCTCCCAAGCCTTGCCGCCTCCGTGCTGGTCGTGCTGGTCGTGCTGGTCGTGCTGGTCCAGCCGCCGCCGCCGACGTTCCTTTGGTTCCCTTCTCCCCCCCCTCGCTATCCCCGAACACTCGAAAGTCGCCCTTCCCGTCGCCCTTCACTCAACTTCCCTCTTTCATAAAGTGAAGCAAGCTGAAAGTCTCTCTCTCTATTTCTCAGCTTAGGAGACCATCTCATGCACGTCTAAAGTGCCCAATCTACTCGGACCGTTATGTCGCAACGTGTACACGTTCACTTTACCATTGTTTCGCTCCTTTTCGCCTCACTCAGGCTGGCCTGATTCCAGACCGCGTTCCAGTTGTCGAATTGTCAATTCAGCCCCTTCCGCTCTTTCCAAACCGCCCCCAGCTAAATCACATTCATACAAATTCCCAAGATCTTGCAATCCCGACTACTCATATTGTTCATGAACTCATCCGAGTCTCAGTTGTCGGGTGCCCATCGTACACGCGACCATGGCTCGGGGGAAGGGCGCCACAGAGCCTGAAAAGACCCAAAGGCTTTCCCTTGCTGAGCTGGCCGCTCATGACGACGTGTGCTCAGACGTCATGGTAGATAATGTCGGTGAGACTCCATGCTATGAGAAGACCCCATTGTGCTGATTCACGGCAGGCTTATTACAAGTCAAGAATCCGAAAGAATCGCACCAAACATATCCCAATCCGCGGCATCAAGGAAGACGAAGTCCCACGGATCCTGCTGCACAAGGTTATTGTCGACAAAGATGTGGAGGCCGCGGAGAAAGCCCTCCTCGCCCTTCCCGGCTTGAAGAGATACAAGAAGAGTTTGCGCAGCAAGGCCGAACAAGAGCATTTTTTGCAGCACCTGAGAAAGTACATAGATATGTACCAGACCGATTGTGCTTGGGAAGTGTCTACCACTAATCGCTACACCATCACCACTTATGAAGCCGCGGTCACGGCCAGGAGGCGCATCAGACAGGGAGACACCATAAAGTATCTCACCGGCACCCTTGTTCCTCTTACCACCGAGGAATCGGCCGATTTGGACTTGACGAATCGCAACTTCAGCATTGTTGTTTCCAGTCGCAAGAAAAATTCATCCATCTTTTTGGGTCCTGCCCGTTTCGCCAATCATGACTGCGATGCAAATGGCCGTCTTGTCACGCGTGGGGAAAATGGTATGGAAGTGGTCGCCATGAAGAATATTGAGGTCGGTGACGAGATCACGGTCTCATACGGCGATGACTACTTCGGGCCCGGCAATATTGACTGCTTGTGTCATACGTGCGAACAACTTGAGCGAAATGGCTGGACATCCAAGGCTGGCATCCTTGACACTCCTAGTCGCACTTCCACTCCACAGCTCGAACCTCAAACAGCAGCTCAACCCCGCGGCCTGAAGCGGAAAAGGGACTCAACTGCCTCCCACGCCTCTTCCGTACCTCCTCCATCAAAGCATGCTAAGATCATGCAGTCCCCGTCTAAACTGCAGCAATCCTGGACGCCATCAGACAGTCCAGATGCGGAGATGCCGCAAGTTTCAATGGAGCGAAAATCCGAGCCGACCGAGAATTTGCGAGCTGCGGCTTCCAGGGAGGCAGCAGCACTCTCGCCGCCTCATAGCCCTGCGCGATCAGAAGTACCCGAGTCGGGAGAGTCAATTCAACCTGAACCTGAGCCGCGGCAGAAGTCCCCCGGTTCGTTGAAGGGGCAGACGGATCATAGGGAGAACAAGGTGGCGACCAAACTGCTACCCAATATATCATCGCGTGTTCCACTGTCTCCGGCACCGACCTCTCCTTCTAGTCATGGTTCTGCAACCGAGGCGAGTGGATTAAGTCGGTCAATTTCTCGGGCTCAGGCCACCGATACATCTGTCACGATCAAGGTTGAGACTGTTGAAACAACCAAGATAGAGGAAGACGAGGATACAGTCATCGTCGTGCCCTCCAGACGAAAATCTTCGCAAACCAGTGTGGCTCACCAAACGCAAGAACAAGAGCAGCAGATGGGCATGGTCGCTGAAAGCGTGGCATTGGCTGTGCCTCAAGCGGTTTCCACTCTATCCACCACAACGATAAGTAAGGAAGTCCGCAGAGTCGAGTCGTCCGTTTCAGCAGCTGCAGAAAGCAGCGTGCTCCCATCCATAGAACCGATGAGTACCTCCACAACCGTGGCCACATTGACGGTCCACCCAATGACTGGCACCATCCGCATTGCTGGCGACTACATCCTCACCCGCAAATTACTCGCTCAGCCTCATGATCGCTGGGTACAATGCCACAACGACAAATGTCTTGGATTCTTCATCCAACCCAACGGCTACCAGACACGCCGCGAATGTCCACGCTGCGAGCGCCACAGTATGCTCTATGGGTTTCCCTGGCCAAAAACAGACCCAGATCCCCGCAAACTGCTCGAGCGCAAGTCTCATGGAAATGGTCGTGGTAAGAAGAACAACAGTGCTCAGGCAATTGAGTACAGCGCATACAGGCGGAAAGGGAGATGTGGGAAAGGGACATGGGTAGAAGGTGGAGGAGACCCTGAAGAACGGGTCATGGATCATCGCACGATCCATCGCTTTGTGTTGCCCGAAGAGGAAAGAGAGTTGACCCGAAAAGGTCTTCTGAAAGAAGCCGAACTTGCTCGGGCGGCGGGAGACCATGCCTTGGCAGTTTTGGAGGCGAGGATGCGCGCAGGTTCTAGCTCGCGGGCTCTCAACCACGGAATTGGTACGGAAAGCGCTACGAGGGACGTGAGCGAGAGTGGGAGCGCGACTCCCGATGAATTGAGGAGGAGGAGTAATCGATTTGTTACAAGGCCTGTGGCTGTCTACACGGACAAATTCTAGGGGAAGAATGCGGGGCCATCTACCGGGGCAGATTGGCTGCCAAAGGTGATGCCTGCGCCGTCAATAATGTTGTATGACTCGCAGCACGATGAAGACATGACGAGCTGCGAAGAACTGAGATGCGCTAGAGAAGCGGCATTCCTCTTGATGGAGAATGGGGAGAGTCATTTCGGAACAGCAGAGAGCAGACAGAGGAGGAGGAGTAGATAATGCTGCGTGAGAGGTATTTACGAACCTCAGCTCTTGATCGACTGCAGTGTTAGAAGCCACCCCATACGGAATAGTGAATCTGCTCAATGAGCATGGCTCGGATGCACAGTGCATGAGGCAATTGCACTGACAGCTGTGGCACATGGTGCCTTGAGGCTTGATATCTTTGAGCTGTCTATGCAGGAGTCCGCACCTCGTCCTGGAAAGCAACGTTCTTGAAATGGGCGAGCATTTTCCTCTCTACTTGCTAATCCCGACGTCAGAAACAAGCCAATAGCTCGACGCCGATAACGAGGCCTTATCCTCCGCGCTAACTGATTTGGGCCTCAGGCTTGGATCTTGCATCTGCGCGGAGAAGCAAATTGACATCACTCAAAACACGCCGTAAAGCTGCAACCAAATCATTTCTATCATGATTGGGCTGATAGTGGGATGATCATGCTCGAGGCCTGCTGGTTGCCACAGCCGCCTCGATGAAGGAAGCTTCATACTAAGGTCCACCTGGATGATTCTGATCGTTGACCTCTTTCTCGTGTTGGACCAGGGCTAACGATGTGCATCAGCCCTGCTTGAGACACTGTCTTTGCTCATCAAACATCTGACTTCCCCTGCCTCTCCTTGTCCACGCTTGACTCCTTCGCCATGCCTGACCCGATGACTCTGCAGGAAGAATCCGATCACTTCTCACCATACCGAGCAGATGGGAAACTTTATGGCTTCGTCTGCGTCGTCACGGGCGCGGACATGCCGGTTGGCGCTGCCATCGCAACAGAATTGGCCGGTATTCGATCTCCTCTGCAACCAGATTGAACCCTCGAAGCTAACCTGGTAATCAACCCCAGCACACGGAGCAGCATGTATATACGCATGTACCGCAACCGACCAGCCTTCTAGCCTTCAATCGAATCTCTCCAAACTCTACCCAAAGACCAAGGTCATCTCCTATCCTTACTCCATCTCCTCCGAACAAGACACGCTTGTCCTCATTGACGAAGCTCTGAACGCCTGGGGCCGCCTCGACGTCTGGGTCTGTTCCTCTGGCCTGCTGGGCCCGCCTTCAATCGACCAGACCACGCCGCAAGATCTGCAGAAATGCTTCGAGGCAAACAGTCTTGCCCCGTTCTTCGCCTTGAAATACGCGCCCCATGCGATGCAGAAGACCACAGCAAAAGGGAACTATCCTAACGCAGCGCCGAAAGATCAGCGGTATGGAAGTATCATTGTTGTGACGTCCACGGCGAGCACGTATGGAGGATGCTGGGGACCGTGCTTTACAATGAGCTGCCACGCTGCCCTTGGCGTCGTCCGCTCGGGGGTCGCAGTCCTAAAGGGGACAGGTGTGCGCATCAATGCCATCTCTCCCGGACAGATCGATGTTGGGGTTAGCCTCAACGGGTTCGATGCAAAAGGTACCTTGATGGGGTATAATACCCAGTTGCCCCCTGCAGCTCTTCAAAGTGCAACGGCGCAAAAGAATAACATTGGACTTGAAAGGGCGGGGACCCCGGCAGAGGTTGGTAGGGTTGCTGGCTTTTTGGCCTCGGGGTTTAGCAGCTACATCACCGGGGCAAACATGGTCGTGGATGGAGGAGCCAGTGTCATGTGCCCACTGATGGTTCCCATATAGTGATTGATAACATAGTTCATACAACGCAAATGGAAAGTAGACAGAGTGGGAAGACGAGGGAATTGCCTAGGTCTCCTCTTGTCTGCAAGTCTTACAACAAGCACAATGAGGTCGCAGTCCTAGACAAGAATCTCTCGGGGGCGGTGACTGAAGTCCTAATCATTTCGGATGCTTCCATTGTAGGGAGTTACTATCTAACAGTACCTGTATGAGGAAGACAGATCGGTCCTGCTAGCGAAAAAAGACTCCCCTCGGGAATTGATTCGTTCTGGGCACCATATGATGATGAAGAAGCCATGGAGACAATGCAGTTCATGATAGGGATTGAGTGCCGTCGGTCTTTACTTTCAAGTTCCAGCGGAGAGCAGCTCGAATTTTCCATAGATGGGTTTCGACCGAATGTATGAAAACCCTTGCTCCGTGCGAGTTGCGGGAGAGAAGAGTGAGCAAGCTCGGCCCGTCCGAATAATAAACATTGTGCACACATACCGCAGGCGAATATCAAGACTATCATTACATACAAGGCCAGGAACATAAGGAGCGAGGGTGTTGGAATGGTGGGAAGGGGAAAAAAAAAAGAAAACCATTTATACCGAACCCGGAAAACTTGCCCTTTTGGTTCCGCCCCCATCCTCAATCCTCATGCTCCCCCGAACTTTTTCGAAGCCCCGAAGGTCTGGACAGTCGAGCTTCCAGCAATCAGCAACAGTATTTGTGGTGAGTGGGAGAGACCGGGAAAAATGTCTCCTCGATCCAGAGGTGCACGGCGCGTCGCTGATGCTTTCGGTATGCTCTTCGCGCGGGACATGGACTGATGGCAAAGCTGACACCTCTCTCCAGCATCTCCGTCAATCCACCACGTCTGTTCGTCATGTCTACAAACTCTGTTGAAACGGACCTATGCCTCTGCAGCAACCGCCAAAGCCAGCCTTGAATCGCAGTCTTCGTCTAACACCCAACTGTCCCCGTCAGGGCCTGAGGCGTCCCTGTCACCACAACCACTTTACACTATAAAAGCTGGGATTGTCCTTTCCCGTCCGCCCCTGATCACACCAGACCCTCACCCCTTCGAAACCGCCTTTCATCTCTATCAACGTCGTCTAAACGAGCGCCTCGTATTACCTTTCACGCAGTACTTCTACTATCGCCGCAACACGCCCGCATTTGAACATTGGCGCAAACACCGCCGTGAGCGAGGCGGCGCCGCAACGCGCGACATCGGGAAGTATAACGCGTACAGTCCGGACGCGTGGAATGATGAAGTCCTCGTGGGCGATGAGACCGGGAAACCGGAGAAGATTGTAGAGCAGCTCATCTCCGAAGAGGGCAGAGCTGATGAGTTCACTGGGCAAGGAGACCCCAGGTTTGCGGGCCTGAGAAGGCATACGGAGGCGGATGAGAAGAACGATCAGAGGAGTCTTGAGAGGAGGCTGCAGAGGACATTGTATTTGTTGGTCAAGTTAAAGAACAAGGGTGGGCAAGCGAAAGAGAAGGCGGCGGATGAGAACAGTGAAAAATGGTTATGGAAGTTTCCCTCTGGGCCGGTTGTTGGTTTTGAAGGATTAAAAGAGGTAAGTGAGCACAAATTGTTTTCTTCCCTTGCTTGCACCTATGTTCCCGTATCCTTCAGCTCTTCGTGCGCATGGGTGAGGCAAAGAGCTAACCAAAACCTCTGTGAAATACAGGCCGCGCAACGCATTCTCTTCAGCTCACTAGGCCCTAACATGAACACCTTTTTCGTTGGCAATCACCCTGTTGGCCACTATGTGGCACGCTTTGCCTCACCGCGCCAGGCTCCATCTTCGCCCCCTTTGTACATCCGAGGATCGTCGTCTGGAGCTTCAGAATCTCCATCGTCCACACTATCGACAGCAACGACAGAAGCTGAAGGGGCCAATGAATCGACACCCCTCCAGCAAGACCTTGCGGCACCACAGGCCCTAGTCGACGGTGAAAAAACATTTTTCATGAAAGCGCGGATAATGGCTGGCCAAGCCGACCTCTCATACTCTACTTCTCATTCCGATCCCAACATCAAAACGGCAAAGGCCCTGACGGATAGTAACGCTCCCAGCCTGGACAAGGGTGAGGCTAAGGATAAAAAGGGTGTCATTGCCGATATGGGATTGGATGAGATTGAAGATTTCAAGTGGTTGAGTAAAGATGAGGTGGAGGAGCACGTGCATCCAGATTATTGGGTGAAGGTGAAGAACATGCTTGTTGCACAGTAAAATACACCAGAACCGCCTGGATGATGTTTGTCCAGGGAAACCATGGGGACCACAAAAGAAAAGGGCGATGTAGGCAGAAGGGGACCTCGAACGAAGCGAAACAACGCTGTTGAAGCTCGACGCTCTCCTCTGCCCCGGGTACAGTGGAACAGAAAGGCCCTCAGGGCAGCTTTTCGAGTTACGAGAGGATCTCAGCTTCGTGCATGGAGGGAGAAGGAAGAAAAGCGGCGTGTCCGAGGGGTGAGAATTCCCCATGTTCACCTCATCAATCCCATGGCTCCCAAGGAGGAGAGGAGTAGGCAGGGAGCAGGGCAACCCCCAAATCTAATTTCCCTGTAGTCTCTATGTACAAGTGTATATCGTAAGGGAGAGACTTTGTACAACATAGACGGGTCGAAAAGGAGAAAGACGAGGCCAGGGCAGCTGAGTATCGAGAAGGCATCTCATCCATGCATATTGTTCTGTTCGAGACCAAGCCAACTAACGAACTACCCGACTAACCAACTATGAGGGGAGGTATATCTGTTTTGCCCGACGTACATGGGAGAGAATAGGTTGACATGAACTCAGATGTGAGAGATGAGAGATTGAGGCGAGATGATTTCTATCTCCACATCTATCCATCTACTTACTCTGTACCTACCGATGTAGGTATCTATCTGTTTATTAGCCATGCCTATCCATTCATCCATCCATCCATCTTGTGGTCTCTCATGGTCGCCCTCCCCCAGTTCTCAGATCCAAACGTATGTATTAGCCCCTTGGTATGGTCTGAACGCAAAAGTAATCAAAGTCCCATCCAGTCCAATATATGTAAATCCAATCCGATCTAATCCATCAACGTATTTGGGGGAAAGAGAAGGGGGGGGGGTTGGTTGGATGGGGGTGCAACTCGGATTAACTCTCCAAACCAGACCTGGTGAATGCCTCTTCCCACCGCCCCGTCGCAGGGGGAATTCATTGGTCCAACTTTGCTGTGCGGCGCTGTGCCAAATGTCCGCTGGAGGCACGCTCTTTGAAGTCATGAGTCCGAGGTCGAGGTCGAGGTCGAGGTTGAAGCCACCTACTCTCGAGCCGGTTGTACGCTTAGCTCCCTCCACCGTTCCCTTTCTCCCCTCTCTCCCTCCCTGAACAGCAAGAAGGAACACATTCGCCCGCTCGCTGCTCAAGTTAGAATCTCACGAGCAAATCCACGACCACGCCACGGTGGTCGCTCATCCACACCTTGTCGTCGAACCGATTCGGTAGCACGCCGTATCCTTGCACCATTTCCCTGACTTGGTCGTGTTCTCCCGGGCCTTCCTCATCGGCCGTCGCCGGGGGGATGCCTAGGTGCACGAAGTCGATCCGCTCCCGGCCCTCAGCGGCCGGGTCGGAGGGGAAGCCTGTGAAGGTAAGTTCGTTGCCGTACGCATAGATTTTGCCGTTGCTGTTGTCGGACGACCCTACGAGCCGGCGCGTGTCCACGAACCCGGACCCCCGTGCGTTGAGGATCTGGTAGGCGTCGCCGTCCGGGTGGCTGTTCAGGTCCCCCGTGAGGAACGTGAACGTTGGCGTGTACTTTGATCGGAGGCGTGAGGCGACGCGCAGGATAAGTTTGGCGGATTCACGGCGGGATGTTTTGCCTTCGTTGTCGAGGTGGGTGTTCATGGCCAGCATCACTTGTCTCTCTCCTCCTGCTGCCGAGGCTGTTGACGATGTCGTGATAGTGGAAGGTTGGCGGCCGTCTCTAGCGTTGTTGACAAGCACCGATTCCAGCACCGCGCACGTCAGAATGCGAACACTGTCCGCATCCCAACCCTTCTTGCCCACTTCGCCCGTCTCGTTCAACCAGACCGTTTCAAAGTGGACGCATTTCCAGGCCGATTTGCGGAAGAAGATGGGGCTGTATTCGCCTTTGGTTTTGCCGTCATTACGCCCGACTCCGACGTAGGTCCAGTCGTTGTCGTCGTCCGCGCCGGAGCCTTGTGTTGTTGACGGCGTCGAGGTGTTGAACGTCCGATTGTGCAAGTCGACAAGTTGTTGATGAAGCACCTCTTGCATGCAAACCAGCGTTGACTGGGGAGCAAAGTGCGGACGCGTGTGGTACTTGAAGTGGCTCGAGAGGTAAGGGAAGCGGTCTGGCCACAGCTTTTCGCTCTCGTCGGGCGTGTCGGTCGCGAAGCGTACGTTGTGAGTCAAGATTCTGATCGGAAGGAGGGTAGAAAACGATTCCCTCCGCTTTGCTGCCTCTCCGGCAACGGGTGGTGGTGGGCACGAAGCGTCGCCCATGTTGAGGGACGATATGCAAAAGGGGATACAGAGGGGCTATGTGACAAAGAATGCTTCAGGATACAGATCCATGAAGCATATTTTGCCTGAATGTGATTTGCTCCCTTGAGCCTAGGGCTGTCGTTCTGAGGGACAGACTACTATGAAACAAGGGCGAGGGACGTGTTGGAATCGAGTTGAAGGCGGGGATAAATATAGGGTTGCGGCCAGATGGGACCTTTAAGTGACCGGTCCTTTTACTGTGCTAGATGGCGAGCTTGTATCACGGCATGACAAGTGAAATAGCTTTTTCTGTGACATAGTCACCGCCTATGAAGACGTGACAGGCCAGCAAGGGTGGAAAAGGAAGATCGTCAGGAACAAACGAAGTTGAACCTTGGGAAGCACAACGATGCCAACAACAACCACGCGAATCGACAGAACCAGCCTGGTTCGGGGTTTCAAATGACGTCATTTAGAGATGGTTTATACATGGCCCCATGGAGATCCGTGGTTGATGAGCTCAGCCACGCGAGGACCTTAAGCAACGTGAGTGCCCGCTGGGGGAACGGTGGACGATGTGTAGTGATGAGTGCGACTCTGAAATGGATCGGCAGGTCGTCCCCATGCTTGTACGAGGACGTGTTTGACCCGCACCACAGGGCATTCCTTGAGGAGAACGCCAGGTCATCCGCCGACCGGCACGAGAACAGCACCTCAACGTTCAAGGTCTTCTTGTCTGCGAAGACATGGGCGATGCCACGATTGGGGATGCGATGTAGTTTGGGTTTTGGCAGTCCTCCTCCATCCGTGAGCCACACGGGAATCAGCGCTGGAGAAAGACTGTTGACAATCCGAGCACGATACCGGTGATGTGGATAATTCCATGAGACTGGCTCCGTGTCTCCATACTCCCGAGTTCGTTGATGAGACTTCTGCAAGTCAAAGATGGCGTTCTCGGGAAAGCTCATGTAGTGTTACTCGAAGAAGCACGGTTGTGCCTGGTTTGTCTGCTGCGTGTGAACTTGGCCACTGGAAGTGGCCTTGATCAAAAAGCACATTGCATAACCTCTCACAATAATACTGCTGATCGAATGTTTACCTACCTGCGACCGGCGCACCACTCCCTCCCGGCGGGATATTCGCTGTCGGAGTGAAATTGGCGCCGGAGAGTGCACCGATCATCTGCTGGAGAGGTCCAAGAGCGGCCCGGCGCTTCTAGAAGGCCATTTCCACCTTCTCACACATGTATTGGACACGACAAAGACCAGTACGTAGAGCTGAGTCAACTCTGAAGTGGCATGCATCCCGTGGGGTGAGATACGGGTGAGATATGTAGAGCAGAATGCTCCGTCTGGAGGTGAGCGAGGATTTGGCGAGATGTCGGCTGAACTTGTCAGACAGCATTTTGGACGGGTGATGCTAAGCCAGATCGGGCCATTAGCGCCCTGACCCGACGCGAAACTGAAACTGCGCCGTGAATCCGACAAAAGTCCAGAAGACTACCATGATCCCATTCCAACCAACCCCCCCCATACATCATCCTCGCGAGCGGATCGACTTCAGCTCAGTCGCATCTAGTATGTATCACTTTCTTTTTCTCGCTTGTTTCCCTATGTCTCTGGCCCGGTGTCTGCGATGGCCAACAGATCGGTGACTGGCTTACGATCAGCCGTCCAAACGTCCATCTCTTTTCGCAGCCCAGACCTCATCTCGAGATTATTTCCAATGGCTAATTCCATCATTAGAAACGCGTCCAGTGCCCGTGGGCCTCTCCTCCAGTGTTATTCCTCCCCATTTGATGAGATGTCGACATGAGTAATCCCCCCGACGGTGGAAATGCGGTAGCCGCGCTTGCTGAACCCACCGCCTCAGCACCCAGCAACGAAGAATCAATCGCGCAAGGCAAGGAAAGGGCCAAAGAGATCCTCGCCGCGTCCGGTATTAATGTCGCCCGGAAGGATGGTTCGGCCGATGTCAACGGCCACAATGACGGATCCAACGTTAATCGAAAGCGCAAGCGCGAAACACCAGTAGATCGTATCCAAGCAGCGGAATATGTCGACCGCGAGTACCACTACAAGGCGCTCTACGCAGAGCAGCTAGCCCACCCGTTGATAGCTCAGGAGAAAAAGCAAGAGCTCGCGTTGTATCAGAACCTTCGCCAAAGACGGGATCATGACCCTGGCTCCGTCTTTGGTTATGGCTACGCAGGGTACGGCAATCCCAGGACAGACGAAAAGAATCTCCCCAACCCGGTAGTGTACCCGCGCCAAAGAAGACCTGGCAAGAAGAAAACCTTACCACCCCGGGTGTCGCGAAAAGACCTCAGCATACAAGCAGAACAGAGCGAAGAGCTGGTGCCCATCCGGCTTGACATCGATTGGGGCAAAATCAAATTGCGCGACACCTTCACCTGGAATTTGCACGACAGAACGACATCCGTCGACTATTTTGCAGAGAAGCTGGTCGAAGATTTCGGCCTCGAAATCCAAAACTGCCGTCCACTGGTTCAACTGGTCGCAAATCATATCCGCGAGCAGCTAATCGACTATTGTCCTCAGATTTATGCAGATGACGAGCCGTGGGAACCTTCCCTTCCATATTTTGCCTACAAAAACGACGAAATGCGCATATTGGTCAAGCTCAACATTACAATCGGCCAAAACACGCTCATTGATCAGTTCGAGTGGGAAATAAACAATCCGTTCAACTCTCCCGAGGAGTTTGCACGGCAAATGACGAGCGATTTATCGCTGGCAGGAGAATTCACCACCGCAATTGCGCATTCTATACGTGAACAATGTCAACTGTTCTCCAAGTCATTACATATCACGGGCCATCCGTTCGATGGCCGGCCGATTGAGGATCCGGATTTGCGGGAAAACCTCTTGCAATCACCTTTACCGACCACGTTCCGGCCTTATCAAGCCGCCAAGGACTATACACCGTATCTGTACGAACTCAATGAAGCAGACCTGGAGCGGACCGAATTATCTATCTCTCGTGATCAGAGGAGGCAGAAACGTTCGACGAATCGCCGTGGAGGTCCGGCTCTACCAGATCTCAAAGACCGCCAACGCACAATCCGGTCGCTTGTTGTCTCTTCCGTCATTCCTGGCGCTGCACTGAGCATGGAGGAGAGTCGAATATTCAGAATTACAAAGGCTAGCCGAAAGTCAGCACGCGGCCAGCGAGACGGGTTCGAAGATTCCGACGAGTCGGATAGTGAAGACTCGGCACCTGATTCTCCAGCCATCCCGACTCACTTGTTACAGCAAGGCACTGCTCGTACTAGAGGTATTAGGAACGCAGCACTGACTGCGACTGCGGGTATCAGATCGAACTTGAGCGGCTTCGCATCGGTCAGATCTGCAACACCGGAATCAATTGCGCCTTCGCATCACGATGGCCGAGCTTCTGCTAGGAAGAGAGACTACAAGGAAGAAAGCGACGAGGAGTCTGCTCCAGACAAACTGATTGTGATATTGAAAGTGGGGAAAGCTAAGCTTCGAGAGTGGACGCGTTCGCAAAGAGTCAAGGACAGGGCGGCTCATGTCTCGAATATGTCAAATCACGGCAGTCCACGACCTGGCAGCCACTCACGATCTGTTTCGGTGGCCCCCTTGAATCTCGCAGGCATGCCGCCTCCGCCATCGCCAGTTCCAGCGACCGTGGACATTCCAGGGGCCGTGGATGCAACGCCCAATCCGATTAACCCAGCCGTAAGTCCCATGCCCTCATCTCAAATCGGACCTGTACTCACCTTGTCTGCTGCTAGCCCCCACCCCCTGACTGGCTCGTTCGGGATCTGGAAAGATTACGGAAAATATATCCCAATGACCGATTCGAGGCCCTCATGAAGCACACAGCAATTGACCCAAAAACTCAGAAGCTGGTTGCGCCTAATGAGACGAACCGATCGTTTCCACACAAATACGTCCCACGTATCAGATGCTCTGACTGTCTTGTATGTTCCCCCATCATTCGACGCTGTCTCTGTTTGTTGAACAAGCATTTTCATTTGGAATCCCGTTTTCCCAGTAGTGACTGACGTTGATTCACAGGGCAAAGTCTACTTACCTGGCGAAGGTCTTAGTGCCACGAATTTTGAGTCTCACCTCAAGAACCGCAATCACAGGGCGCATGTGGATGTACGCCTGGCGAAGGAAGCATGATGCGCGCAAAATGTATGGTATTGCATCACCCGAACCTTGAGATGATCCGACCCTGGTGCCTCTTGCTTGTGTCACCAGTGTCTAATGCTACACGACTGGAATACTTTCTCGCTGCGAGGCTGAGGTCACGTGGTGAAGGCCACTCCTTTTTGGAGCCCACAAATCTCAATTGGAACTTGACCCTGAGGGAGCGTGACGTGGAAAAGAAGGCAGACCCTTCAAAGCATGACCATGATGTCAGGATCTCATCGGTGGTGTGCAGACAGCCTCGTCATTTGGTCTGAATCAACGGGAGCACCCTGCGGCGGCAATGATGCCTGAAGCTGACCGGCATGGGGAGGCCATTGTCGGCACCAGAGGCCCGCCATGATCAAGTACTTGGACGCAGCTGGCCCTTGGACATCTATTCGAAGATAGTGCTTGAATAGTTCTCAGCCTGATCAGGGACAAGGTGCAGGGAGGTACTGGAGACCAAGACACCGTGTATATAGCTTGTTGGTGAGCTTCTTATCGACTGGTGTATTACGAACATTGGAAAACAGTCTGTAGCTGTAGAAAGGGCGTTCACAGTGTCGTGTGATCTTGGAAGACTCAGTCCAACGCATTGCTGCCTTGCTAGCTTTGCATCCCCGCATCCACACAACTGAAATTCACTTTTGCACCCCACTAACGACTGTGTTAAATCCCCTGAGAACAGTTGAATGCTTGCCACTCCTCCATTGCAATTGCACTCTTCTCTTGGGACGATCCTGCTTGCTCACAATGGCTGATGCAGCGGTAGCAGAAGGGATCAACAATCCCGACAACCTCACCAAGTCAGTCTGCACTTTCGACTGGTAGGTATTCATAACTGACTCTGGCCTCAGGTACAAAACCGCCGCTACCATCAGTCACAAAGTCCTCGACGAGGTCTCCAAATGGTTGGTCGAAGGAGCTAAGATTGTCGATCTGTGCATCAAGGGCGACGAACTTCTCGAAGCAGAGCTCAGCAAAGGTGAGGCCTTTTCTCGAGTCACGGTTGAGATACTGTTGTCCAACTATGGCTGCGGACAACACTTATTCAGACGTCCTTCTCTAACATACAAGTCCTGCAGTGTACAAGGGAAAGTCCATCAATAAAGGCATCGCGACTCCTTGCACAATATCCCCTAGCTCTCATGTCACCCCTTTCACCCCGTTGGTCTCGGACGCCGATGACGCAGCCATGACCATCAAGGCGGGTGAGTTGGTTAAGATTCAATTAGGTGCACAGATCGACGGGTATGGTGCAATTGTTGGGGACACCGTTGTGGTGCCACAAGAGAAAGGGAAGAAACCAGAGGTCACTGGCCGAGAGGCGGATTTGCTTCTCGCTACTTACTACGCGAATGAACTCTTGCTCCGACTGATGGTGCCTCCGGGGCTATTGGCCGCCGGGACTGAGGAAGAAAAGAAGAAGGCTGCTGCCGAAAAGCCGCCAACTCAAACGAAGATCATCGCGTTGGTCGAGAAGGTCGCAAAAGCCTACGACGTCCATGTCGTTCAGCACACCACGTCTTGGCTATTTGAGAAGAATGAGATTGAGGGCAAGAAGAAAATCATTCTGTCGCCGGCTGATGGTGCCAAAGGAGAAGGTTCAGCAGAAGTCGGCGAGGTCTGGGGGGTTGAGGTGGGCATGAGTCTGGGATCTGGCAAGGTCAAAGAGTTGGACAAGCGATCGACTCTGCTGAGGCGAACGACCACGACCTACGGCTTGAAGCGGCCAAGTTCGCGACAAGTTCTCTCGGAAATTGTCAAGAAATTCGGTACTTTCCCATTCAGCCTACGGCAATTGGATGATGAGCGAGCCGGCAAGGTTGGCGTGGTCGAGTGCATCAGATCTGGGGTTCTACGTGAATATAAGCCAGCCGCAGAGGCGGATGGTTCTCCTGTCTCGAGATTGTTCACCACTGTTGGTAGGTCGGACCGTCGTGTGTTCGATTTGGCACATTATGCTGACGATTGTCCCTTTTTTTTTTGGCAGCAATCACCAAGAATGGCCTTACACGCCTAGCGGCTCCTCCTCCATTGGATCTGGAGACCGTCAAGTCCGACAAGAAGATCGAGGACGAAGAGGTTCTGTCAATCCTCGAGCGACCGCTCAGCAAGTCTACTGGCTCTAAGAGCAAGAACAAGAAGAAAAAGAAGAAGCCCGCCAAGAAGGCCACCGCCGCGGCTGCTACGGAGGAAGAAGATGACGATGACGAAGATGACAGCGACGAAGAATGAACAGCTCACTCTTACCAACGGCCACAGATGCTCTTAGCTGGTTGGACAGGCATAAGAGTCATATGGCAAGGAGGTCAATGAACTGCTGGAGGAAGTCGTTCTTGACGTTCCACGAGATGAATGGAGCTGGTTGGGCATCTGACGCGACCTATGGTCACAACCGAGAAGAAGCGTGTTTCAGGACAGTGGGAGAGCGTCAGGAGGAGAGCACATGGATGGTCCTTATCACCGCCGCTCCATTGGCCGCAACGAGGCATGGGAATGAATAGGAAACGAGCAGCAAACTATGACTACACAGAGGACAATAAACGAGAGAAATGTCGTGACGAAGAAATTGATGTGACTCTGCCTGGGCTTCTGATTAGGCCGTACCGAGTAGATGACGAGGGGCAAAAGTGAGAGGCAGCGCCGTAAAATGTCGCCACGTCATGATGAAAACAGTGACTGTTGCCTAGGATCAGGTCGAGGACCAAATATAATGGCTTGAGAGGTGACTTGTCTTTGCCTGAACAGATGCAAAAAGGTCAGTTGCTGGCTGTGAGTCTGGTCCTCCAGGATCTTGGGGGTGGTGGTGCAATGTGTCCAGACACGGCAACCAGGGAAGAGGGAAGAGACCAGGAGGAAAACACGGAGCTCTCAGCCTTGGGGGCTTCAATAGTTTAGAGGCGACGAGGCTCGGGAAGCCGAGTAGTTGCCGCTGCGGAGGCCGGCGGGCGACTGGCAGCGACTGGCAGGCAGGAGCAGCAACGCAGCAAAGCAGCATTGGCGGCATAGGCAACATAGGCTAGCCTAGCATAGCAGCCGAGTGGCACCTAGGGTGGGTGAGGGTGCTAAGGCTAAGTGCCCCTTGCCCCGATTCTTTTGTCACCACTCGATTCTGGCATTTCCTCGTTTGCGGAACCACAACACCATGCGCCATTAACTTTTCCCCTTCTTGCACCTCGTCACAGCCTGCGCCCTCTGCCCGCTGAGCCGCATCCAAGGCTACAGTAAGTCCTTGCCTTGCCTCTGGTGACACGTCCCTGAACTAACTCTCAAGCAGTCGGCGCGTGCGGCGCGGAGAAACGAAGGCAGGATGGCTACCAGATCGTTGCGGCAGAGGTCGAGCCGCTATTCGAGTCCAGCCACTTTCGGTGAGAAAGAGGCTGCTCCAAAGCCCGCCGAGGAGATCTCGACAAGGAACGGTCAACAGACGAGTCTGGACAAATGGATTGAGCCCGCTGTGCGACCTGCGGTCCCGAGTTTTGAAGATACAAGAGGTCTCGAGAGGGTTGGCGTGCTCGAGAACATGCAGCCCCTGGGAACGGCGCCTTCTCAACGACTGCTCCAAAAGCTCAAATTGAATTATGTGCGCCCCTCGCCACGACCAGCCGCGGCACAGGTGGACGAGGTTGTCACTCCTGTGGCAGAACCTGACAAGGTGGACTCGGCGTCACCTTTAGAGGACGAGGCAGTGATAGTGGCAGCAGCTGAGGCCGAGCGGCCTGAAATATTGTCCGACATCCCACTCCATCCTCAACGGCCATCTGACACCATTGTCATTTCCAGTCCCCCGCGTGGTCGGCCTCCTAGAAGGGATGTTGCAGAGATGCCCCAAGCAGCGACCGTTTCGCCGTCCCCCATGACATTATCATTTACCCCTACCAACCATGTTTCGCCCAAACCACTATCAATTCAGCAGCAACTACGACAAGACCGACTTCGCACCCATGTCAATCGAGCTGTTCAGGAAGCGCACCAGAAGAACACGCCAGACCTGGCACATGGGCTTCAGAAAATCCGTGACGATGCTCAGCTGAATCCGGAATTGTGGAATGTGTTGGAGGCTTTGATCAACAAGTCTCCTAGCTCTGAGCAGTTTAGAGTTTTCAAGCGCTACATCAAATCAGGCGTCAAGCAGCATAGACGAGAGAGTCAAATGTCTGCGAGTCCTTATCAACCGTCGCCTCAAATATTCAACGACCTCACTTCCCCTGATTACCGAGTACGCTCACCGAAGCCCGGCCACTCACACGCCAACACGCCCTTGCATTCCGCAGAACGCCCTCCCAGAATCAATCTCTACTTCAACCTCCCGCGCGCAGCAGCTACTTTTGGCTCCGAAGAAGCGCCAGTCTCGCCGTCCACGATTTCCCGGTCTGTTGGGATCGTTGAGCCAAGTGGAAAATCCATCCACCACGCCGCCAATTCGTCGCCTTATAAGCGGAAAAGATCAGGGAGCGTGTCGACTCTATCATCGCTTTCGTCAGCTCCATCAATCCCAGATGAAGTTCCACCTCCCTGGGAGCCACAAGGAGAGGAGCCGGCTGGAGGCGACCGATCCAGATCAGCTGGACAACGCCAAGCCGCAAGCCAGGTGGCAGCTGGCAACAGACTCCGTTCAGCAGCCGGTGCCGCGACTCAACCTTCTCATTCTGCTCCCAAACAGTCCTATCCAGAGGTCGCGACTTCCTCCAAGACCAACTCCAACAAGAAGTTCAAGAAGTCGCGAGAAGAAACCGAGTTTGACATTGATGAACTGTCTAGGCGGAAACGGGTTTATCTGGATGACAGCTTTCATGATTACAACACTATTCCTCGGCCTGAGAGCAACGAACGAGATCCGGCCCACGGACATCCAGTCCGAGCTGCATCGCTCGACAATCCCCCTGCCCCCGTCATTCATCCAAACAGTTTGGTAGTGCCCAGCGTCGCATTGACGTCTCCAGTGAGCGCTCAGGCGCCGCCTGACAGTATCTTGGCCAACGGAGCCGGTCGCAAGAGAAGATATGATGAGGTGGACACAGACGACCTCGAGGATATCACCACCGAGTCGTCCTCTCCTGGCCCGCTGATTGTACCACCACCGCCGGGTGTGGCAAACGCTCAGACACGGAGTGCGACCCCAAGAGCGACCAGACTTCAACCAGCACAGAAAACGCGCAAATCTGCGCGGGTCATGGTATCGTAAGTATCACTTTTTTCCCCCTTCTATTTGTCCCAATGCAATCCCCCCAAGGGAGTGTTTTTGGGGTGGTGGATGTTGTTGAGATAATCCGGAAGGCCAGGGCTCCGACGTCAGGCTCCCACCGACCCGTTTGGAAAGGCTGCCACAGTCCTACCGGATCCATCCCATCCCCCTTTGATATGCATCTCAGGACATATTGGCTGACCTTCCTCTTCTAGGCCCAACAAGCCCAAGAATGGCGGAATCACGGCAGGAATTGCACGTGCGGGGCCAGGGCGTGATGCTGGGCTCGGCAATTTGAATGGAGCAGAATCAAGCGCAGAGGTAGGAAACAAGCCCTGGGCAGCCCAACCCGATTTTCTTCCATTTTTCCACCTTCCACCCAAATTCCCCCCCCCCGGCCAACACCAGGCTCTCACCTTGCCACGATTGGCTCCAGCCCTTCATCCCCCCTTACCACTCGGTCTCCCCTTCTAATTCCTTCTCATCATTCTTTTGGGCCTTGCCCTTTTCTCGATCCCCGAGTTCCTGCCCACTTTCTGCTGCCTGCTTTTCTTTTGCCTCGGGCTTTCTTGATCCCTTTTTATCCTCAATCTTTTACCTGTCATCGTGATTGATGTTCCATCTATCAATTACTGACTTGATTTTTCAGGACAACGACGAGTTTTGCGCATCTTGTGGTGGCGAAGGGAAGCTTCTTTGTTGTGATGGCTGTACAAATTCCTTCCACCATGCGTGCTTGGAGCCTCCCTTGAATCCGGATGAAGAGGTCGAAGGCGAATGGTTCTGCCCGCGATGCGTTGCTCGGCGGACGAAGCAGGTCCCCCAGCCATCTGGTCTCTTGGGTATGGTTATTCGTCGCGTTGACGACATCATTCCGAAAGCCTATTCACTTCCTCTGGACATTCGCGATTATTTTGAAGGAGTTCGAACGGGAGACGAAGGCGAGTACGAAGAGGTCAGCCTCCCCCGCACCCAAAACAACACAGCTAGGATGAACCGAGCTGGTTTCATCGAAGAGCCCAACTACAAGGAGATCCGCGACGGCAAAGGCCACATCATCAGATGCTATCGCTGCAACATGACCGCCAATGGCCGCGATATCATCCCTTGTGACTTCTGTCCGGCGAAATGGCACTTGGATTGTATAGACCCGCCTCTTGCCGTGCCGCCGCGGCGCCGCGCGGGTGACAAACCTGGTGCATCGTGGCGTTGTCCTCTCCACGTTGAACACGACTTGGTGGCTGTTGGTCGGCAGAGCGAGAAAGCCCCGGGCGAGCTCGGTCGCGTCCCGCGATTACGCAAGCCAAAGAACGCCGTGCCACTCGACGTCAGCGTGACTCGAGGCTTTAGAAACAATGGAATCATCGAGGTCGACCTAATGAAGGACCAGCCCGAATTCGACAAGACCAAGGAAGTCCAAATGCATGGCAAGATTTACCGAATCCCGGAGATGGGTATTAGATTGGATTTCATCGATCGAGTGAAGAAGAGCTGGTATGAAGATCAATCCTTCCCCAGGCTAATGGATGCTCCCAAGAGGATACGAAATCGAAAATATCGCCCTGATGGAGCTGTTCTTCATCATCCGCCCACACAGACGATTGTCAAGATTCGAGAACCCGACTTCTTCACGGGTGCGAATGCTCTGGCCATCACAGAGACGGCCAAAGCAAATGTCGCGTTGCGGAGACGATCAATCCGAGAACAGCAAACTGTGTTGAATCTTGCTCAAATGTCCCAAAAGGGGATTGACGGCTACTCTGGGGATGCGTTGGCAGAGTTGACAAATCAACTGATCAGCGAAGCTCCCTCTGAAGTGGTAGATGCCGTCGAAAGGACTGAGCTGGATCAACTCCTCGAATTGCAAGAGCTTATCAACAGGAGGCTTGCTTTTTTGGGACACGCTACAAATACCTCACGCTCGACATCCATGGATGCTGGGACGTCCGACGGCAACTTCACTAGCGATGAGATTCCCCCCTCCCAAGATCCCAATATTGATCCGGCTCTACATTGGCTGCCGTTGAATAGGCGGCCAATATCATCATCACCAGGGGTCACCATTAAGGATCTACCTATCGATCCCGCATTGCACACGGCGTCCGTCGCTAATGTTTCGAATCCCAAGATAGTGAATGGCGATACTGTCGAAGTTCACGCAGTAGAATCAGAAGAAGAAGAGGAGATGGAGGAAGCAGGAGAAGACAACAACGACGAAGAAGGCGACTCGCCTCCAGTTAACGAAGCCGCGGCCCGTAGGCGAGCTAAGGAGGAAGAAGACGCCCGATGGCTCGCCGCATTCTTTCCGCTGAGGAGTGAGCGTCCCGCACGGTATTCACCTGTCAATACGGCAGCTCAAGGGTATGGAAATGGGAACAGTCTCGACAGGATGGAGACGAGCCCTTGAATTTGGTTTTCGAGTTGAAAGATTCAATATCTAGACACTCCACCGGCGTCCGCTTTAGTAGTGGTCTACTTCAGCCGACACCGTAACGCCTGCACGTGCCAAAACCCGACGACTAGGCGCGCGGAGGCTGCGTGCAAAAGTCAGAAGCGTATCTTGAGTATGGTCAAATGTGAAATTACGATACGGAACACCTATTGCAACAACCAGGGCACATCAAAGCCCGTTCAGACGAGGAATTGGAATATGGGGTTTCGTTTTGGAGTCCAGTTTTTAGCATCTTCTGCCCGCTGGAGTCGACCAACAAGTCCAACATCAAACCAAGCAAAGGCAGATGAGAATCGTGATACGTTGACACCAGCTTTGTCAAAAAGTGGGATTTGAAGCATTGGGAGTGAGATGGGAGGGTTTCGTTTCGAGGAAACACTGTATTCCAGGTCCTGAACAGAAGCAGGGCGAGGTACATGGCGGCAGAGGAAAGCGAAGGCGAAAAGAGAAAGGTGGTTGTTGAAGGTATTTTCAGAATCGGTGGGCCAGACAGAACTCGTATGTGATATACAAAGGCTACGACTCGAAGAGGGGGCGAAGCGAAGCCAAAAGCACCTTGGAATGGACCGAATGAGATGGATGCTTGAAACTTGAACGTGAAGCTGAACAGAGAGACAGAGAGAGCAAGAGAGAGGTATTCCAATCTTGTTGTTCACGCACGATTTAGTTCACTCGCCTCTAGCAGGGCGAGTTTGACCCCCTCCCTTTCCTCACCTTTTTTTCCCCTCTTCTCTACGTGAATGTCCTTCTACCCTACACTCCGCGCACATATACATGTACACACAGCTCTCCTCTTGCTCTTGTATGTATTTATGGATCTTTGTGCCTACATATCCAAGGTGGGTACGTACTCCGTACCTTGGCTATTTCACTAGATCGCCCCGTCTAGGGAAAGGATGGGAATGGGATCGGATGGCACGAATGCGGGAAGGGGGAGCGGGAACTCTGATTGACACGCACACACACGTGTCGAGGGCGTGTAGCGTACTTGGAGAGAGAGAGAGAGAGAGAGAGAGCACATCAAAGAAGGGGGTCGTGCGCAGGGTGTAACGAGGACTCTTTACAGCCTCGTGCGGTGTATGATACTCTCAACCATCTGGTAAGCACAGATGCAGCCTCTGCCCCTGCGCTACCTCCTACGGCCAATGCCAATGTCGATACCGATGCCATGGCCATGGATGATAGGCCAGCCAATGCTAATGTAAACAAACACCCAACTCCGCCTGCTTGTTCGCAGCTCGCTGGGTCCTTGTTCTCCGCAATGACACCCCTCGTGTTTTGAACCCTGACCAGCCAGCACAATACCGCCGAGTGGGTGTACTGCTCCGCGTTCGTGGTGACATGTCAATAGCCATCTCAAATCCTCTCCTCGGTACTGGGAAGCTCGGGCAAGATGGAAAGCATGAAATAGGAACAACAACAGGAACCCTAAAACAGGGTAGGTGCTGGGCACATGGCCCTTGTGAGTGGAAGGAAAGACCGACCGAGGGAGAACTTTGAAATAAGACAATTCTTTGGCATTTGTCTGTCAGTTCCGGCTTGATTCCGGTGAGACCATGATGGATTGGAATGCACAGCCATGTCGAGATTTCAATGCGCACATCAAGTCCTCGACCAAGAGAATAAACGCCCTTCCCTTCGACGCCTCAAACAAGCCTGCGATCCCAAATTGCAAGTCGTTTTTCAATGGAAGTTGCCCGTCGTCTCCTCTCGCATGTACTCCTTGCACGGTTCCCAATTCGCCCTTCGATTGAACGCCCATGAATGGCTGAAGAGAAACCCCCTTGTCCAAGGTGGCTCGGAATAGAAGATTGAAAAAAGGATCTCTAAACTCTGCTTTCATCTGCGAAAACAGAGATGTCGGTCTGAGGTGGAAAATGGCACAAACTGTCTTGCGTCTTGACCAGGAAAAGTCTGTGAAGAGCCCATCGGGTCTTTCCATGTCCAAAATAAGTCCAATGTCTCTCGTACTTGAGAAAGGGTTGCGGACGTAGGAGTAAGACCTGAGAATGAAAATTGGAAAAATTGTGCTAGTATCCAAAATCTGATTAGCGTGAGGGAAGCCTGGATTGTGATACAGCAAACGTATCACGAACCTCGGAACGAAAAAAGGAATCCCCTTGCTCAGTGTCCGAAGCCCTGCCCCCGCCATCACAAAATCGTGCACTTCTTGCTGCTCTTTTTTGGTGGAGGTTCTAGCGCTGCCACAATCGCCTCGTCAAACACGTCCTTCAGCTTATACTGGGTCAGGGCGCTGCACTCGACGTATTTCACAGCACCGAGCTCCTTGGCCATTCTTTCCCCGTCTTCCTTGCGGACAGGTTGCATTTTCTGCTTTGCCAGTTTTTCCCTGACAGATGGATCATCTCGGAGATCAGTTTGGGTGCCGACAATAAGACAGGGAACTCCAGGACAGTGATGATGGACCTCTGGAAACCATTTTTCTCTCACGTTCTCAAACGAGGCTGGCGATGTGACGGAAAAGCAAACAAGGAAGACATCAGTCTGGGGATATGACAAGGGTCGAAGACGGTCGTAATCCTCCTGGCCGGCTGTATCAAAAAGACCCAGCGTGTACGGTTCATCGCCGATCCTAAACAGAACAGACCCCCTGGTCAGCTCACGTGCTCATGACAAAGTTGACGGGGGTGAAACGAAACACCACCATGCGAGTGAAATGATAAAACAGAGAGGTCGGTGGAGGGCACAAAGAATACGAACGCATTTCGGAAGAAAACAAATCCAAGCCATGCCATCGCCCGAGAATAAAAGATGAGGTCGCGTTGTGAAAATGGATCGGTAGATAGAACTCACATCACCGTCACGGCATAGTTGTCGAAGACTGTAGGAACATATTCGGAGGGGAATTTGTTCGTGGTGTAAGAGATCAACAAGCATGTCTTGCCAACTGCACCGTCGCCGACAACCACACATCTGGGTCGGAACATCAGCCAGGAAGTCTCACTCAGCCGTGACCAGTCAGACTCACTTAATCGTGGCAACAACCATTCCGTTCTCGTCTATCTCAAAGATGTCGTCCTCAAGGCGTCGGATGCGGCTTGGATTAGTGGGTCTAAGGGTGCGCACTTTTAGTCTCCGTGTCGCCGGCGCAAGGTCCTTCAGACAGGGCAACATTTTGGCAAACTTACCAGAGAAAGGAGGGGACGAAAGGTTAACGATCGTGTGAGAGGGGGGTTAAACAGACGGAGTTTGGTGAGGCTCAAAGTGTCACTTCACTTTTCTGCCTGGGATATGAGCGCGGTAAGGGAGGCAGAGTTCCAATGAGGAATGACTGTCACCAAAATCGGCGTGGATGTGATTTCGAGTGTTTTCGGGAAGATCAAGACTGTCGTTCTCAATCAGCTCATGTTATCCCATCTCTTTTCTCCACCAAGTCGAGGGCTCACAAATGAGGAAGCGAAGGGCAGGTCGAAGGTAGGCGTGAGCAGAGAGAACAGGGCGGTCAACAGCCCTTAGCGATCAGGATCGAAGAGGAAGATTGACCAGCAAGAGAAGGGATGGGTATGTTCAAGAAACAGAAGATCCTGAAAGAAGTCTAGTCTTCAGTAAGAGAGCTGTGACATTTACCGGAAATGACAAGTTGAGAGAGGAGCGCGCGAGGATGGAATGGATACAGAGACAAGGTTTGGCAAGGAGACGTGATGGATGGATGGACGAGATGGTCGGAGGTGTCGACGTGGAATGAGACGCAGATACGGAGAACGCAGCTTGCCACGATAGACGAGCGAGGGAAGGGAAATAAACGGGGAAGGGGAATAATGGGGGCCGAGGCCCTGCGATTAGGCTGTGAGGTTGGACGATTTTGGGGCGGAGCAGCCTTTCTTTGGGCGCCATTCAGGCTGGAAGCCGCCCGCCGTCCAGGCTCTAGGGTCGAAGCAGGCCCCTAGCAGCCCCCGCAGCCGTAGCTGGCAGCCCTAGTCGGCAGCCCCAATGCGCACCTGCTTTAACTAGGCCACACCGAGTAGCGGGTGGTTTCTTCACTGCAGCCAACTCACTCCTTCGGCACTCTCATCAAACTCAAGATTGTTTGCAGCTCTCACCTGCGCCGGAAAAAGAAAAAGGCGCGCCTATCTTTTCTCGACTCCCACAACATTCAAGCCTTGATGCGATGCTCGATCAGGCAAGGCTCGAAACGCGAAACTCTTGCGCGAAAAATAAACCCCCGACCTGGCGATACAAGCTTGTCCTCCGACTCGAACGACGAAATTCGGCTTGGCGGCCCAACAGGCATTCGAGCACGCAATCCATGGGCTTTTGGGCACGAAGAGCCGAGTCCTGTTGGTCCTTGTACGGAGTACGGAGCACACCAGCCGCCCTGGCTTATCGCTTGCATGAGGTCGACGGTCCCTACTGGTGGCCTTCTCGAACGCAAGTCACACAAGTGATCACCTCTCCAGTGTCGACCTAGGTAGGACGCGTCAAGGAGCTGGGCGCTGCTCCACCGAACCGCTTGACAGCTTGACAGACTTCACGCATCTCTTCTCTGGAATTCAAGGCTTGGATCAGTGCTTGTCCATCCATCGTATTGCTATCACGTACACTACAACATTGCAGAAGCGTGTGCAATACTTATTGCCTTTGACCTGTTACGGTGCTGCTTCATGCCCTTTCATGCCTGGAGCTATACCACCCTTCGTAGCGAGACCGATATATGTACATTTCTGCTAACATGGCTTGAGGCAGTGACAATGTCCAAGTGTCGTCGTTTTGAGTGCCCGAATCCCGTCAGAAAAGTCAAAGGATGCAGTCAAAAGACGCATCAAAAGGCGCGCATTTTGGTCCACGCCGTAATCCCACACTATTAGAACGGAGATATTGCAAAAACAAATCGCCAGTAAAACCCTCATTCAAAGCACAGGTGCAATTCCAGATCCGTCAGACCGGTACAGCCCAAATCCCACTGATTAGTGTTCGTTTATTTTGCCCCGATTTCC